TCACAGGGTAATGTCCGACCAATACTCAATACATAGGAGAGTTGCATGTGTATGACTACATGTAGTCCACATTACCAGAGGACCTCCGAAAATACCAATAAATGCCGGTGCAAGACTCAGTGCCCGGGGTGGCAGCTGGCCTCCCGTGTCCGGACAATCACCGGCATTACTGACATTGACCTTCATCGGTGTCCAGACACCGTCCGGCATCCCCTGCTCAAACCCACCTTTTCTGTTGCACCTGCATCTCACCTCGGGAGTTGCAGTCTTTAGGGCCGTGCAAAAGATTGTAGGAAAGGGAATTCCCAGCCAATCAGAGCTCGCAAAATTCCCCTTCATACAATGTTTTGCACCCCCCCCCCTAACGACTGCAACTCCTGCAGTGTCTATCGGTATTTTCGAGGGTCCTATTATCAGCCACATCGCCTCGGATCCAACCATTCGGAGTGCCAATTCACCAAAAGCGTCTGGATGTGAAAGATATTACATAGTTTGTTGAGGGCAGGTCAGATCTTTGACCGATCTTGCAAAAATGGCGGAGAAAGTGCGAACACACTTGGTCGCAAGACCCGCTCCCCAAGGTAGCGGGAATCTCTGACACCTCTAAACCATGTCCACGCATTACCATAATTTCTGGCATATCAGATGTGCAGATTTTCATGGACATTCTTATATATGCCAGTGCGTCGTCCACAGGCGAGGGCCATGACATTCTGCATAAAAGGCTGGCGCGTGAGCGACCTTATTCTACTATGGCTCAGCCAATCCACGCTCGTATCCTGTGGGACGAACTATACCATTGACGACCAATACGGAGACGCCATTCACGGCTTCCATCCTGTATACTCGAGCACGCCTGCAGGGAAGTGGTCCTTTGGGCCCGAATGCCACCTGCGCATCCAGACCCGAGGCCTTCCAGGCATACCGGGGCACCTGGCACGATTGAACATACATCAACGATACCATTCAGTTAGACATACCTTCTGACGGTATTACCTTTGTCATTTCGTCGCCGAGGTGAGATGAGACGTGCTCATGAAATTCTTTGCCCAGGCACCGTCATCTATGTGTATTGCATTATGGACAATACGAACGGGAATCATGCCAGGTCCACGTACCTTAACTTTGTCCTTGATAACCAGCCGGTTGCCTCGTATTCCCACATACCAGACCCACTTGCCGATGGCAATATGAACTCATTCCAGTACAATGTGCTGGTCTACGCGGACGATACGCTCGACAATGGTGCCCACAGACTGATGCTAGCCGTCGGTGGGAACGGCACCGATGCGCTCATGCTCTTCGATTATGCTGTGTACAGGTGAGTGGGGCAGCACTGTTACCCCCGCACTTCTTATTTTTATCTGTTATTAGCTACGCTTCCATCGCTGCTGCGACTCCGTCCGCGCCCTCTACCGCAGGATCTAGTGTCATCACAAGATCGTCGAACAATCTCGCAATCATCATCGGCAGCGTACTAGACGGTTTCCTCCTGCTGTGTGTCGTCGTTATGGCCTTTCGCGTCTGGCGCCGGACGAGAAGCCTCAACCGTAACGGGCTCAGCATGTCGGAAAGACTCGGAGTCGGACCTTGACGCTGGGAAGGCGCCGTACTCTAATCTATCTCAGGGTAGTGTAAAGAGTCCATACAGAAATGTGACGCTGAGTCTGAAGCGGTCCTCTGGAGAGAGCGAACGGACTCCTTGCATACCTGTGCATTCAATCATGAATAAGATATGCCGCAGATATGTATTCACTAATGTCTGTATATATTACTGTCATTATTGAGCGGAGGGAAAATAAAATACAGCGCTGCTGTTTTTTCTCTGTATAGCAACGCACATCTGCACGGTACTGTTATACGCTACCCAGGCAAGAAGGACGAATTGGGCAGCTTGTGGCAGGAGCCGCAGGAAGCGTGAAGCTTCCCGCACAGCCACTGCACATGTGCGGATCTGAGATCTCAGGCTGTTCCTTCGCGTCTGCGTCCGCTGCATCTCTCAACGACTCGGATATGCACTCATCATCATCTCCAGCATCGCAAACGCACAGCATGGCATGAGAATTTTTATATATGATATATGCAGTGGCATGGTTCCCATGAGAGGCACACACGTTCATGGTATCCTGCATGAACGAACGAAGCTGGCGCATTTATTCTGTTACTAGTATGGCTGAGCCAGCTTGCAACGCTCTTATCCTGTGGGACAAACTCTACCATTGACATAGAGCAATATGACGCTTTCACTCAAGACAGGTGGTTGTTACCTATGTACCCAGAGAAACGGCTTTTCGGACCCGAGTGCCCCTTCTTCGAGCTTGAGGTATTTCAGGCGAACAATAGCATCTATTCAGCTAGCCGTAGACTTGACTGGTATTGTTTTCGCCGAGCTGAGATGATACGTCCTCATAACTCTGCCCAGGGACCCGTGAATTTCTCGTGTATCCAAGTTGCATCACAAACAGTACAACCGGAAACAACATTAGTGTCACCAAACTCAGGGTCGTTCTGGTCCTGCAGTGTACGGAACTTCAGAGGATTCGTCTTAGAACGGGGTAGAAGTTTTTTGTCACGCTTATGTGGGGTGTATTCGGAGTGTGCTTATCAGCAATACTGTTCCCAGCTGGACCCTTCGCATTGCTGTGACTTGCACCGCTCCGATTGGGGGGAGGAGGTAGCACAAGAAATAAGAAATGTCGTTTATAACCTGTACACAAACAGCCATCTGCATGATACTATTATACACTATAAACTAAATCTCCATTAACAAGAATATCTGGCTAAACCATTTCAGACAACACCCTATCGGGCGTGCACCACCGGACTCGTACTCGCCCAGATCTCGTCCACGACCCCCTTCCGCGCACCGATCCGGCTGCCCGTCCAGTCCTCCTCCCCCACCCGCTCCGCCCAGTCGTCCGGTTCGTCCCACGCCTCCCATTCCCGACGGCGCACGTCGTTCTCCTTGTCCTTCACACTGCGCGCCTGTAGCTGAGCGGTCGACGGCAGAGGGGAGTTGATCGCAGGCTGGAGGGGCGAGCGGGGGAGGAGAGGGGGCGGAGGGGAGCGCTTGTATTTGCGCTTCGTGCTTGGGGGCGGGGAGGCGCTCGTGGGGCGCGAGGACGAGGTGGAGTTGCTCACCAGACTGGGGGGGTATGCGTGCATAGCATAGGCGTCGACTAGCGTTTCCCCCGTGGCAGGAGTTGCGGATCCGGAAGCGGAAGGCTTAAGTTCATCTGTGTCGCCTGGATCAAGCGTTTCAGATTTGGCGTGGTCCCGAGAGCGGGAACGGGAAGATGAATGGCGCTGGTTCTCAATGTCGAACCGAGCATGGTGGTGGTCGTCATCGTCCTCTTCAGAGGCGCGGAATAGCGGCTCCCGGTCTGCGTCGGCGCTGGGGCGAGCGGGATCTGGTGGTAGGTTGACGCTGCTGGCTGAGGCTTTGACTATGGAATCGATCAGCCAGAACTGGATGATGTTCATCAAGATGGGGAAGATGCCCATGACGCTGGCCAATGCCAGTCAGCTCAAGATGCCCGTAGACTCCAAGAACGCGGGACGTACAATATCACCTGCACCGCATCTGTCGGTCCTAGCCATGTTAGCAGCCATGCTCCAATCTGGAAGATGCCCGGGAAGAGCGCGAAGAGAGCAATGACGAGGAGCTTCATGGTGGTAATGGCCAAGACGTATACGACGGCCTGACGCGCCCAATAATTTATGGAAGGAGGGTTGCCATATTGGCCGGATTCGAATCCTTTGAGGTTTAACTTGACAGTGAGAAGGTTGGTGGAGAGATATAGGATGAGATAAATTATGGCGACGCCTATTAAGGAAGATTAAGCTCAGCAATAGTGACGTCGTAAGATACAAATACGCACCAAGGGTAGTGTCTATGAGAATATTGAGGAAATAATACACGCATGCATTGCCGGAAACGCGATGAGAGCCAACGTCGGAAATCAAGATATTAACACCGTGCACAAATAGCTGTCCGAGGACTTGTTTCGAGACGTCGAACAACCTGGCAGAAACACATGAAGGGGTGATAAATCATCGAAGTCACGCCGTCGACTCACCAGATACGCCATGGACGTTTTGGCTTTTCCCTATGCCTCTTGTATATGAGAGAAAGGATGACCAGCACACCCATCACACCCTGAACAACCTGTGTCTCTGCAGTTCAGCAGTGCCCATCAGCTATCAGTGCGTCGCCGTACCAAGGCAGTCGGACCAAGCAACCTGCATGAGCCCTGGTCGACGGGGAGGTCCTCAAAAGGGCTGTCTCCTGGCGGCTCATCGATGTCGGAAGAGAGCGTTGGAATGAGGGCACGGGCGACGTGCATCGTGCAGTCGCATTTACTGGACGGCGGTGGCAGCGACGGAGGATCGTTGGCTGGTTCGGCTCCTGGCCGCGGGCACTGGCAGCGCGAAGCAGGCTGCGCTGCGCAACTTCGCTTATCTCAGCATGATCGCGTGCGCTGCAGCCAAACGCGGACGTGGAGATGATCGCGCCTCCAACTCACTGCTGCGGTGCACCGCGACATCGCTGACGACCGACACGTTATAGAACGCTTGCGCCGTCTTTAACACATAAGAAAGAAAGACGTAACAGCGTGTCAAGACTCTAGTACTTAACCGCGGCCATGAGCTTTTTCAGCAGGTCGAACAACAGCCCGGCGCCGTCTCCCTATTCACGCTTGACCGACAATTCATCCTCGCATTCCCTGCCTCCCAGAGGATTGCCCCGCGGCCCGCCCCAGAGATACGACGTTCCCTCAGCAGAGAAGCGCTCGTACGACCGGAAACCACCACCGTCTCACGGTATGGGCAGGTATGTCACTTCTGAGCCTCATTTCGCGGTGAGAATGAATCACGTACGGATAGCTATGGTGTAGTCGGGTGTCCCAACGACGCCCTGGCCCTGACAAACTGTCTCATTGTCCACCCCTCTGACTTCTCTTCCGGCCAACATGTTCTTGTCAAGCAGGCCTTTCCCCTGACTACCCGGTACGTTGTAGTGATGATCGTAGCCGACGAAGATAAATGACGCCTTTGAAGCCATGATAACACGAGCACCCTGCAGCCTGGCACAGTAGGCGTTTCGTCGTCCCAGCGGCAGTGGATAGGGCTGTCCCTCACCGGCGACGAGGTCACTGTAGAACCTCTCCAGTCCCCTCCCTTCCTGCAATCACTGGATCTCGAAGTAGGCTTCATGCGCAAGGGCACTGAGATCGCAGAACAGTACTCGGCAGACGAAATGGCTCACAATTTCTTAAGAGCCTACAACGGCTCAGTGTTTGCTGCTGGAGAGCTGCTGGCCTTCGAATTCCATGGCCAGCATCTTAAAGCGACCGTCAAGGGTGTGGCTCCTCTTGACCTACAAGGAGGCCAAGAACGGGCTAACTATGGAGTTGTAATGGATCAGACGGATGTCACGTTCATGAAGGCTCCTAACAGCGCAATCAAACTGAAGGCGAGCGCGAAGAAGTAGGTCTTTGCCTAAGTATGGCATAGAGCATATGTTGAGAGTTATGTCTTCCAGGCCACCACCCAATTCCATCCTTACACCGAACTTCAAGTTTGAAGATATGGGTATCGGAGGTTTGGACCAGGAGTTTGGAGCAATATTCCGTCGTGCCTTTGCATCGCGTGTGTTCCCTCCGGGACTGGTAGAGAAGCTCGGCATTCAGCACGTCAAAGGTAGGTAAACGCTGGATTATCTCGCCAGTTTGCTGTAATCATCTGAATCTGCTAGGTATCCTCCTGTATGGCCCTCCGGGCACGGGTAAAACACTCATGGCCCGTCAAATCGGCAAAATGTTGAATGCCCGAGAACCGAAGATTGTCAATGGACCTGAAATTCTGAACAAGTTCGTTGGTCAGTCTGAAGAGAATATCCGTAAATTGTTTGCCGATGCGGAGAAGGAGGTACGTATCTCCACCCCCTTCTGTGAGTTGGTAGATCAAACACCCATCGCTGCAGTACAAAGAGAAGGGCGACGAGAGTGATCTACATATCATCATTTTCGACGAGTTGGATGCCATCTGCAAACAGCGTGGTTCGACGCAAGGCGGGACCGGTGTAGGAGACAGTGTCGTCAACCAGCTCCTGTCCAAGGTGCGCTTGCAGCATTGTCACCGCCTACAGATCTAATCCCGCGACCTACAGATGGACGGTGTAGACCAACTCAACAATATCCTCCTTATCGGTATGACAAACAGGCTGGACATGATCGACGAGGCGCTCCTGCGTCCCGGCCGTCTGGAGGTGCACATGGAGATCTCGTTGCCCGACGAGAAGGGTCGGCTGCAGATCCTGAATATCCATACCGCGAAAATGAGGTCGAACGGTGTGATGGACGACGACGTTGATTTGGTGGAGCTGGCTGCGCTGACGAAGAACTTTTCTGGCGCTGAAATCAATGGTCTGGTGAAGGGTGCGACGAGTTTCGCATTCAACAGGCACGTCAAGGTAAAGTTCTCCTCACTATCGTTGTTCTATGACAGAGCCATGAGCTGACGCCGCATGTAGGTTGGTACAATGGCCGGTATCTCTGACGATGTCGAGAACATGAGAGTGAACCGGAACGACTTCATGAATGCCCTTGAGGAAGTACATCCCGCCTTCGGTGTCTCTGAGGAAGAGCTCCAGCAGGTCGTCCAGAACGGCATCATACATTATGACGGGATTGTCGACGTAAGTGCGCTGCATCAGGGATGGAACAGAGTTTCCTATGAACATGTTACATTCACAGGAGATTCTACGGACAGGCGAGCTGTTTATCGACCAGGTCCGCACATCGTCGCGAACACCCCTGGTGTCGATTCTGCTCCATGGACCGAAGGGCTCCGGCAAGACTGCGCTTGCGGCAACCATCGCACAAGCGTCTCAATTCCCTTTCATCAAGTTATTGACACCGGACAATATGGTCGGTTACTCGGAAGGGCAGAAGGTCGCTGCTATCAACAAGGTGTTCACGGACAGCTACAAGAGTCCGTTGAGTGTCATTGTAGTGGACAGCATTGAGAGGCTCCTCGATTTCGCGCCGATTGGACCAAGATTCTCGAATGCAGTCCTGCAAGCCTTGTTGGTTCTCTTCTCTCGACGTCCACCCAAGGTGAGTTGAATCTATGTATTGAAACTCGACGAGTGTTTTGTTTACCCTCGCTCAGGGACGACGCCTGCTGGTGATCGCCACTACTTCAGTGCGGTCCGTATTCCCGGAACTCGGGCTTTCGGACGCGTTCGACTCGGAACTCCACGTCCCCCCGATTTCCTCATTACGTGCGCTCGACAAGGTGTTCCGCGAAGTCGAGCTGTTCCAGTCCAGTGACGACCGGAGGAGGGCGATTGCTATGCTCCAGCAGGCAGGTCTCGGGGACGAGGGCGAGGACGGTGTCTCACGGCTCAATATCGGCATTAAGAAGCTATTGAGTGTCATCGAGATGGCGAGACAAGAGCCTGAAGCCGTGGGTGAGCGGCTGACTTCGGCGTTGATGGGTCTTGGAATGTAAGCCCTATGGACATCACTCTTATCATTCATTAGAGTATAGGATTGCATATACGCTGGAACCTGTACGCATACTTCATCGCCAATACATGGATACGATAGCTCGCTACGTAGTACGTGCCGTGAAGGATGCCGCTGCGCAGCAATCGCCCATATTCCCACACCAGCATGTTTACTGGAAATGGATATGGCAGGTGATTTAAGGCTGCAGCCGACCCTACCTCATCGCCCAAGTCCTGTTCTTGTCTAAACGCCGTCGCACCCCTAGCGCTTACGAGGTCGACTATTCCCTCGCGACTCTGCTGCCTTTGATCTGTATCAAGTTCTTCAATAGGGACCTCATCTGATTCTTTGTGGCACTGAAGTTATGGAAGATCCTATCCATCCACCACCTCTCTCTCGCTCTGGATCGACACCCAAGCCCAAGGGTATCCTCAAGAATGCACCTCATCCCCCGGCGTCACCACAGCAGGGGCCTAGGTCCGTGAAATCTTCACCCGAGTCCGTACTCCTATCTGACACGCATCTAGGCTTCAATGGGATGAAGAGAACCTGGCTGCGACGGAGATCCAGAAAGATAGCTTGATGAAGATTACAGAGCCCAAAACGCCATTTGTTCGATACAACGCAGAGACCGACACGATTGAAGGAGGTATGTTAAATGAACGGGCGACGCTAAGATGCATGCTGATTGCGGTGATCAGATATCCCATCGCTGGACCTGTATGCCGGGCAGCGAGCGTCTCCTGCGCCGCTAGCACAATCCCCGACGAACGCCGATAGCTCCGGGCCTTCGTCAAGACGCACGTCCTTCTCGAGCACGGGCGGTCGGCCGTCGTTGTCTGGTCGATCAGGGAGTGCGACCTCGAGCAGGAGCACGAGTTTCAGTCTGCCTAATGATGCGAGAAGGGAGATCAGGTCAGTGGAAGGGGATAGAGGTGGTGAGGTAGAAGAAGAGGAGATGGACGAAGAGAGTACGTTGTCCGATGCGTCACACGAGTCGTAGTACTGACCTGACTCATGCAGCGGCGGCTAAACACGAAGCTTTCGTGAAGGCGCGAGGCAGGCACTACTCTAATGAAGCACAAGCTATGAAGGTAGGTGGTGCATTATCTCACGTCGTTGTCCATGTTCTGGCTGACTGGTTTACAGCTTGCTGCGAAGCTAATGGAGGAAGAAGATGACGATGATGCGGCAGAGACAGATAGTCGAGCGGACACTGCTAGTGAGGATGTATCCATGGAGGATTCGGCTGCAGATGAGGTTTCCCCAAGGGTAAACGGTGAGCTCTCTTTATGTTGTGCTCTAGTGGGAACTGGCCATGCTGACACTATTTGTGGGCATAGGACGCTCCTAATAATGAAACGGCGTAGCAAGCTTACCATCGGACTTGTGCCTCGTCCCGTCTGAGTATACACTGCATGCCAGATCCCAACTGTTTCCTTGCCTCGCGTCTCGTTTCTGTAGCTCTGAGTATCTGTATGACCAATGTTTCCCTTGCTTGCATTACCTGCTCTAATATAGGGGACGAGATATTCCCACGTGATAAGATGCACTCGTACTAGTCATCTCAGATTTGTGGACGATCAGTGGCTTCAAAATTGCAGCCACCTGTATACGTACCTATAATTTATCCACTGTCCCATTGGCCTGTTCTGCTGCTGTGGCGTTTCTTGTGAAGGCACATTGCTATCTGGTCTTTGGATTGTACATAGGATGTCTCTCGGAACGCCTGCAATCGGCAAAGGTCTGCTGCTCAAAGCAGACACCATCGCGAATACTTTCCGAGATGAAATTCAGAAGTCTCTTGCTACTCGACAGAAGGCACCGAAGCTCGTCGGCATACTTTCCACATCGCAGTCGCCCAGCAGATACTATGCCGAGTTCACCCGCAAGCAATGCGAAGAATTGGGCGTCAACTTCGTATTGAAGGAGACTGGAGCTGCCTTGAACAAGGACAGAGTCGCGGATGACAAGCTTGCGGAGGGGGAAGGCGTGGAAGAAGCCATCATAGAAGCCAACGAGGATGACTCTGTAGACGGGATCATGGTGAGTATTTCGTTTTGAGATGTCAGGCCCAATTCACACCTTTTCGTAAGGTGTATTATCCTATTTTCGGTGTACAACAGGTTGGTTAGGCTGTACATGACCGGAGAAATTCCGGATCCGTGCACCGGTCCACAAGCTAAACAAACACATTCTCTCCGTAATAGGACCAATACCTGCAACAGGTGAGGATCTGCATTGTGTCGACCGTAAGATGCTCACCGTTGAACGTCAGGTTGTGTCCCCGCTGAAAGACGTAGAGGGCCTCCATTTTAAGTTCCATTATAATTTGTACCATAAGTGCGTCTGTCCGTTCGACTTCTGCGGGTATGCGAACTCACGAGGACGCTAAGTATCCGCTTTATTGAGCCCAAAGGATTAGTATCCCCGGTCACCCCGAAAGATATCCCGTCACAGCCTGCAGATGACACACCCCCTCCTGGGACCGTCAAGTCGATCCTGCCATGCACGCCATTGGCCATCGTGAAATGCCTGGAACACGTCGGCGTATATAATAAGATCCTCCCATATGGGGATCGTGCCTATGGGAAGACCATCACGGTCATTAATAGGTGAGGCGAGTGGTATAGGTGCTGACATATATGACCACTAAAGGTACTGTATTCATTGCAGGTCTGAGGTGGTTGGCCGACCGCTGGCTGCTCTGCTGGCGAACGACGGAGCGAGAGTGTTCTCCGTCGACATCGACTCCATCCAGGTATATAGGATCTGTTATTTCGCTGCCTTCCGGACCTTCTCATTTGGCATAGGAATATACGAAGCGACCGCGGGTCTCGACTGACTCGTCGTCGACGCGGTACCACCCGCGACATATCGTCCACCCATCTTCATTGTCTCTGCAAGAATGCCTGGCCCTCTCGGACGTGGTTATATCCGCGGTGCCGAACGCTGAGTACAAAGTTAAAACAGAGTGGCTGAAAGACGGATGTGTGGCCGTCAATGTGGCTGCGGAGAAGAACTTCGAAAAGGATGTCAGGGAAAAGGCATGTGTTCCTTATCGTTCTCCGCCAGAGAAGCTATCTCCGTCAGGAAACTCAGTTTCTCTTAGGGGAGGCTGAATACACTCCTGCGGAGCGGTGATATGAATGGATTCATTGGGAGTGCCCGTGCTGACTGACATCGCACTACGTTAGGCATCCCTCTATCTCCCCGCTGTGGGCAGAGTTACTATCATGATGCTCTTGCGTAACCTGTGCGTGCCCATGTTCATACTACTCATGACTCGCTCCTCACCTGCAAGCACCCCGTCTCGCGTTGTGTAGCTTACGCCTCCAGCAATGTCGGGAACTCCTCTAGCGTGCGGGCGTGGGTTCTGAGGTTAAACGTACTTCCGCAACGGTCAACAAACATTGCTGTAAGCGCCAAGGAGGCTGCGCATCCACGGCTGCTGTCAATAGGGACGCCTGCCCCTTGGAATGTATAGTACACTGGAGAGTATGGTACCCACTAGATATGGAACTGTCCTGTGCACGCTAGATAAATAGGCAGAAGGGTGTTTTGTAGAGATATGATTTTGATGGGATGAATGAACGAATGAATGAACGACTGAGAGACGATGTATATTAAACTTGTCGAGATAATGATGACCCCGTCCGCACTGATGCACGACCCAGAGCCAGTGATAATTCCTTCATTGAACAATTAGGTGGATGACGCTGCGTCAGTCTACAAAGGGGCAAGACTATGTATCAATGGCATACTAGTATAGGATTGAGAGCAACCGGATAACCAACAAGAGAAGACGAACGTTGTCAGGTAGTGGGACCCGTAGTGTTACTGGAAATATGAATCTGTGAGATGGGGGACGGGTGGGGACGAGGCGGTTCCGTTGGGAGTCGGAGTACCGGAGCCGGATGGGAAGCCCGGGGTCACAGGAGTTGAGACGCCAGAGGCTTCGTCAGACATGAAACGCACGCGCTGCCGATGGGCCTGTGTGTACGGAGATATGTCAGATTGTTGCGTTGCATAGGGTGCAAGTGGAATGATTACCTGAGGGAGCTTGGGTACTAAGCCTAGTATGAGGGCCGTGAGGTTGATCGCGAAGACCCAGGGGTTGTATTGTGTGAAATGCGTGGAGAGGAGGAATCTATGGATATTGGTGTAGCATCAGGACGTGCGCGAACGCGATAGGGATGAACGTACAATACGATGGGAACGGTAATGAGCCACTTCTTTGCTGGAGTGTACTGCGCACCTTCGTCTATCTGCTCCCATAACGTTAGATCATCATACGCTCCTCCGTGCAGCTCGTTGTCGAAGGGGATGCCTGTCTGCCAGTGGAAGATGAAGTAGGAGAGCTAAGCCGAACGGATATATTAGTTGCTGGACTGGTAGAGGTACCAGGAGCGTACAATGATGTAAAGGAGATTTGTTAGTGTCCAGCTGACTTGCTGGTTCATTCCAGGCAGCGTGTCGATGAGGATCTTTCCTGCGACTATCAGCACCGGGTGAATGAGCCATGCACCTGTGCGTCAAGTGAGTATCAAGGTCACACGATGCACGAGAGACAATGATGCATGAGCACCCACAACGCACCCTTTCTATTAACCCATTCCGCGTTGACGTTAGCATAGGCACTCTGGTCGAGCACCTCTTCCTGGGAGCTAGGGCCGACCTGCTCGACCTTCACAATGCTTCCACTTCGCCCGCGCGCCCTTAATGCGGGCGGCAGTGGGCCCGAGGTAGCGACAGACAGGGCGGGAATTTTGGATGCGGCAGCTCTGGTCATCGTTGTCATGGGCGGCAGAGACAGCGGTGAAGAGTACCTAAGGAAAGACGAGGACGCGCCACGGCTGGAGATGCGGTGGTGCCAGAAATATCTTGCCCGCGAGGGAAGCTGCGGACTCTGTGTGAGAGCCCTAACCTTGGCCTGCCGGTCCCCCGTGGACTGCGCGGACCTGCGCGCGGTCTGTGGCGTTGGCCCGCGCTCAGGCTTTCCCTCCAACTCTGAGGCTGCATTGCGCGCTGCTCGGGCGTCCCAGATGCAACTGCTACAATGGTGTACGGTAGAGCCGGCTGGCGCGACCGATATGGCTGCGATACGTTTCGCGTCTGCCGTTCATGTCCGTTCTATCAGAATATTCCCTTCAGATGCCAGGCCCTTCTCGTCCAGCCCCGACATAATAGCGTACTGCCAGGCTTACGCTATCCGTCTGTTATTTGACTAACTATGTGTCCCATAGGCGGACTGAGCCTGAAGCCTTCTACCTTGATGTCTTCTTCAATGCGCAGCCAACAGCGCATTATGATGCCAATAAGAGGCACAAACCTTCCAATGCATTGGTCCCGACTAGCATCGCCTATGCTGGAGGTCAAGCGACCTTCGCTGTCGACATGGGGTTAGACGTACGTGCTCGTCTGTTCGCGCTCGCTGGTCAGCTCAGCCTACGCAGTTTGCGACGCGTCTCATGATCCTCAAAGGCAACTTTACCTCCATCTCCCTTGCTATCTACGGAGAGTTGGCCTCGGACCCTCCTCCGGCCACCTATCCCGAGCCGAAACAACTGCCTTCAGTGGAACCGTCCCCTCTACTACCCTCCCTTGACCCGTCCAACTCCCCAGATCCGACCTCACTCGCGAAGCAACTATTGACCCTGATTGACGATGCCCCCCCTCTGCCCCTTCTCATTCGGCTTATGTTCTGCCTGAAGCCGTCAAATGAGGATTGGGAGAACCCTGACTTCCCTTACCTGTATGCTGACCTGGATTATGCTGCAGATGCACAGCACTTTGACCTACAGGAGGCGTACGCGGCCATAGGACGACCTATTGCAGACGATACGTCGGCAGAATCTTTTGTGCGTTTCGCAGAGAAGGTCGCAAGCTGCATTGAGCAAAAGGTAGCACCCGGTATCGTAATGTATCGCCATATTCACGATCGTCTCCTCGCAGAACAGTGACCAGACATACTACCTATCCGGGATCTTAGCTCGTGCTGCCTCACAACACCCAGCGCTTGCGCCTGCTCTCCTAGTAAGAAGAGTTCCTATAAGAAAAACGCACGGACTGAATGCTTGTGCAGGAGAGAGTTGATCTAGAGACCATTATGGAGCCCTCTCACATGGATTCCAGCGTTCTCCAGCGCTTGTTGACAGCCTGTACCAATCCAATCATCGCCGGCCACCTTCAGGCTGATTGGTTCCTATCTTTGCTCTCTGTGACCATATCCAATCCTGCGGTCGAGTCCTCGACAAAAGCTAATGCGAACAAACTCAAAGTACGGATATTAGGCTGGCCGATCCTCGAAGACGCCCTCTCAAACACTCAAGCCGATTTTAGTCTTGCGACCCAGCTACTGCGAGAGATTGGGTGCGAGGAACAGTCCTTCGGCGTCTGGCTGGCATGCGAAGTTATGCACGAAGATCTCCGGACGAAACTGGCGGAGAACTCGGTCATGCCCTTTCCATTGTTACACCCGCCCGCGTTGTTCCGGTCTGAGCTGGCAGCCGCAGGCGTGTCCCATGACGAGTTCATTGCTTTCCTTAGAGCATATCTCGGCGTAGCGTGTGTATTGGCTGTGTTTGCGTGGTCCGACAGCCTTGGAAGTAAAGTGTGTAGGGAACGGACGCTGGCCGTGATACGGCTTTGGCAGGAGGTAGATGGGTATCGGGAGGTGCCGATTCTGTCCTTTCACGTACACAACCGCATGCTAACAGCAGTGCGTCTTCAGATAGTAAACCACCTCCTGCTTCTTCGCCAAATGGTGTTTCGCCTCGAATGCAACTTGAACAATGACCCACCTACTTCTTCTGGCATTTCAACGGAACGTATCCTGCTTTCGCTCGCATCATACAACCCAGGATCCATGCTTTCGCCCGACATGATAAAATGTTCCCTGAATCTTCAGCACCCACTGTCTGCCATAACAGAAGACGAACGGCTGACGATGCGCAGACTTGCTATCATTGCAGAGGACGGGGCTCCAGCTGCAGTGGAGGTGCTAGGCCAGAGATATGAGTCGCCCATGAAGATGGAGGATATTCGTAGCATACGGGTGAGCCTGACGATCATGGAGCGGGAGCTCGAAAATGGCGTGGAAGGCGAGTGGCGAGCTCTAGAGGCTCTATGGGGAGAGCGGCGACACGGTTTGGTTACAATGCTAGCAGAAGCGCTGTCAGTTATCATCAGCGACATCCGCAGCTTCTTTTCCTTACGCCCGCCCCCGGAGACGAGCCAGCATGTCCTCGCCGAGCTCTTCGAGACGGCCCGTGACTTGTTAAAGGTTATGGTGCGTCTTGTCCCAGCATACCCGTTGCCGAGCCGACCGATGTGCATGCTCGTCGCGGACATTGCGGACTTATTCGTCTGTACGGATTCTGCGGACATGCTCTATTCACAAGCGAGTCCCGCATGTATTGCTGCGCAGAGTAGCAGGCAAGCTTGCATCGATGCGGTCAGAACTCTATGCCAACCATCCGAGGGCACTCCTCTAACCCGTCATGACGGCAAGTCGAACGCGTGCGTTGTACTCCGCACATTGTTGGAACATGGTCTACGATGCGGGGACACGGATCCTGCCTACCACATCCTACAAGTCTTCTCTCTGATCGACCACCTTCTCCCATTCGCGGCTTCTCCGGGAGACGAAGGACAAGCAATGTGGTTGCGGGAGGTACTTCCTAACGTCCTTTCTGAGCTGAAGGTATTCTTCAGGGCGCTGGATACGGACAACAGAGTGCACTTTGCCAAACGATTGGCAAATTTGGATTCTGGAGTGCTGGGTATCGGGGAGTGGCTGGTGTCAGAAGAACTGAGCTATCTGGAGAACATGATGAAGGAGCTACAAGGCGGCATTTCTGACGGAGGAAGGACTCCACGGACACAGTTCACACATTGTCAGGTTTCTTCCTCGCTGAAATTCGTTTGCGACCTGGTCGCAGCTGGGAACACTTCACCGTGGTGTCTGCAATATTTGACGACCGACCCGGTGGCTGTCGCTTCATTGAAGACCAGCCTCTCTGCTCTGCTGGATCTGTTCCACTGGTCCGAGTTTCTAATCGGGATTGGCCTTTCTTTGTCAGCTAATTGGGCACGCAACTTCGATCAATCGCTTGGAGTTGTAATTGTACAGATACTGCTGCGAGATCAAGATGTTTCTCCCGGTAATCAACGAGTAATTTTGGATCTTGCGTGGAACGTTCTCCAAGACGTTGATCGTGCAGCAGTCGATAGCGAGCGTGTGCGGGTCGAGCTTAGTTCACGGCTAGCTCAGATGGCTCGTAGTCTCGATCAATCATTGACCTTGGAGCCTGAGGATCCGACTCCAGACCTCTTGTTATCAATCACGGAATGGCTCATCAAGCCGGTCTCCTCGAATGAGTCCAAAGTATGCCTGGATTTAACGGCAAATCACCTGTCAAATATACTTCAACGTATTAAGGCTGGCAGTACTCAGAACAGGACTGCCATCGTAGAGAACCTTGAAGGATGGATCAGTGTATCCGGGGACGAAAAGCCGGTCTCGCTGCGCCCACTACCAGACCATTTTATACTCAGCGTCCACGACTTGGAAGGGCTTCTTCAGGACAGAATGGATGTCGACGTACCATCTACACCTCCTCAGAAGCCACTATCCCACTCGCAAGATGTTTTCGGACTTGTCACGGTTTCACCACCTACTGCTCTGCTCCGCTCCCCTGCAGTGACAGGCCTGACGAAGACGTACGCAAATAATGATTTCCGCCAATTACGGCAGACACCGTCAGCGCGGCAAAACACAAGTCGTCTACCCAGCATGCACGTTGATGTAGGTGCTATGGGCCCTCCTGAAGGCACGATGCTGACGCTGATCTATTATAGGAATTCGAGCTGACCGCGACCTCACCAATGTTGCTCCCGAAAGCCGCGTCTGCTGACCTCCCAATGCCAATGTCGACTGATGTATTACAAACACTCGCCCCTGCATTTAATACACAATAGAGATGTACAATAAAAATAACGAGCGGCGAATCTATACTGGCGTATTCATAGCGGTGTCCTTTGTACAGGCTGATACGGATGTCGTCGATGAAGAGTCGATGGGTCACGAGGTAAGCTAGCATAGCGCGAAAGCGTGTCTTCCCGCGAACGAAAATAATGGTCCATGTCTGATTCGTCAAATTCGGAGGGGGGAGTCGGCGAGGATGGCGTCGCGACGAAGCTGGGATTATCCGTGGCACTGCCAACTCGAGTCTTCTCTCCGAGACGGTATGTGCGCTTCCTCCTCGCCTTGACGGGCTGCTTCTCGGCCGACGCAGACGAGCCGGACAAGCCAGACGGACGGTGGGGGACACTTCGGACAGTAAAGTGTTCCACCGATCGAGTATATGGGGAAAGGGTATGGTTAGAATGACTCAAAGTAGACAGCTGGGATATGGAATCGTTCAATGCAGGCCGCAGAACGATCTTCGGGTCGTGTTCGTGAATGGGGTGGTAAGCAGGTGGTGAACCGGAGTGGAAACCATCAATATTGGACGAGGCTGACGACAAGCGCCTCTCTCGAGGCTGCCTGACATAGACATCGTCGTGGTTTGCATACGGATACGGGGGTGTTGGTACTGACTGGGTCGCGTCGGTGCTCGATCTTGATATCTGAGTGCGCGAGCTCTCCGGACTCATGGGCCGGGATGGAGGTCGATGGAGAGGATAGCGCTGGTATTCTGGGGAAAGTGCATCGGGAGCGGAATCCTGGTACCATGGGAATTCTTGCGGCTCCGGGCCAAGTCCGCGCGCGCTGCAAGTGCGGCCTGATGCCCTTGATGAGTAGGGACTAGAGGTAGCTTGCAAGGCCCGCAAGTGTCGGGTAGACAGGGGCAAAGACGGGGTTGACTGCATCATCCGAGAGGTGGAAGCGACAGATGGGGCGGCACGACCTGATCTCAGAGGCAGCGACGAAGTGGATGCTCTGGCGCTCGGCGTCCCAACCGAAGACTGGATCTGCGACTGCGAATGGAAAACTCTCGGTCGAGTGACCACGCCTCCGCCCACAGCAGGGATAGTCTCGTATTCGGTTGGATCGTCCTCCGAGACGGACGGTGGAGGGCTGTAGTCAGGTACTGTGTCTTCCCACTCCACTACGTCGAAGGACCCAGACCCAACTTCGTCTGGGTCGTCTTCCACCGCCTCCTCCGCCAAAGATGCTAAGCCCTTGTTGGGCGCAAATAAGCGACTGAAGCTACTGAACAGACTCTTTGTCGGCAGGCCTTCTGGCCGGAGACCATAGGTAGGGTCGAAGTTCTCGATATCGGGAAACGACGTGGGATATTCCTGGGATGGAGACCTGACTTGCACCGGTAGAGAGGAAACAACAGAAGGGGGTGTCTCTCGAGTGGTACTCGGAAGCGATACACTTGACGGAGACCGGGGTCTGATCATGCTGGATGCACCGACCGTCTGCCTGCGCAGGAGAGAGGGGTGCACACCGACGCTCTCCGAGCGAGGATAGCGCGGTATCGACGGCATGGACTCGACACTTGGCGCTTTCGGCCGTTTTGCGAGATATGGCGCCTCGACCTTGGCCTTTACCCACTGCTGGCTCAAACGGTGGATGATCCCGGGCAAGTCTTCCCGAAACATCTGACGTAGCTGACCCTCGATTTCCCGCTGGATGTATTTCTGTATCACGGCGATGGAGTCAAAGGTACTGTTGATGTCGACGTTTTGCAGGGGATCTGTCTTAAAGACAAGAGTGATTCCTTTCTGCTTCGATACCACGAGGACTACGTAGGAGCTGAGCTTGAAGTGGGAGAGGCGCAACAGCATCGGTACCACGAGCGGCTGTTTCGCGGCGAGCATACCTCTGGACCCAGCCATCAGATGGATGTCGGGCTGCTTGTGATTGAGAGGATTTGCCTGACAGAGAACATCAATACAACCGCGCTACCGCCAGGCATGATAGTCACCTACCTGGACCTTTGTCCTCAGTACCAGATGCGCATCGCCAGAATACGTGAGGCGGAATATTCCGCGGAATTGGTCAAGGGTGAGTTCGCCAATGTCACGTATTTCCAGTTCCGGAGGCTAGGTGATCTACCAATTAAACGACGTGCAACGCGAGGAGAGGGGCCTCGCTACTAGCGACTCACCTGAGTACCCATCTCCAACTCCACCACTTCAATCTTATCGGCAATGACAGGAGGTTTGTTCCCCTTGTTCAAGGCCGAGTTGAGCATCTGAATAGCATCGGCATGAAACTGATCGGAAAATCTCGGCCATTTGAAGGTGAAGGACATGTCGACGGTCGCAAGTGGTCTGCCTCAGCGTTCATAAGCAGTATTGCGGGTTGTATGCGCGGAAGCTGGGCCGTAACATGCTGATGCCGGGGGTGCAAGGCTGGGAGAGAACCAGGAGCAGGTTTGTAAAGCGTGGATACGGTGACGGAACAGGAACCGGCGCCTCCTCGCACAAACGGTCGCGCGTGTTAGTTCACCCAATTAACCGTAGAGTTCCTGTCAGATCCTCCAGAAAACAGCCCGAACGAGTTCAGCGTCGAGAGCAGGAATCAACGAGCAGCCAGCTGCAGAGTGCAAGTGCAATGGGTGGAAAGCTAAAATACCACGGCACGCGCCGACATGCATCGTAATTGCCTCCGACGGACAATGCTCCGTAGCACCTTCCCCGCTGTTTCGCTGGACGCGCTTGCCTTACAGCAGCTGGCTGCTTTCGTTCTCTAACGACCGTCTTGCTTGTCTTCGTCCACAGCTGGTGTCGCGTCTGTTTTCATGAACGGTGTGCGCAGATTCCTCGGTGGCGGTCTGACGAACGGCGCGGCGTCGACCTCGCAGCAATCACCCGCGCAACAGGCCCCGGCACCCCCTCCGATACAGCCCATCGCCCCACTCGCGATATCCAAGCCGTCATGGCCGCCGAGTCCGACAGGGACGCAGCCAGACTCTCCTCTGGGCAGCCCCAAGACTACTACAGTCGGCCTGTTCCTCCGAAAGGACAAGCAGAAGCCTGCTCACGTCCCAGGCGAAGCCGAGCCAGACGACTCTCCAGGACAGTCTACGCGTCCGACATCTAACTCTTCGTCTGTCCTATCCCCCAGTCGTAGCCGTGGCTCTATCCCGATGTCCTCTCCAGCCACCACTCCCGGTGGATTAAGCCAGTCGCTGCCTTCATCCCCGGGAGCTGGTCCATCGTCGTCCCCGATCCGTCCAAGCATACCTAACCGGAAATCTTTCATGTCTAGGAAGTCGATACACCAAGTGGATCAGAGTGTCAAGCGTAGCTCAAGCCTACTCAACATCCAAGATGAGCTTCTCATGAGCCTCTTGGCCAGTGAAGCGGTCGTGGACAGCAGGAATTATGTCATTCTGAGCGCTGAAGAAGTTGAAGAACTCAAGAAGGTTAGTACTCTCTTACGCTGCACGTAATCTGCCATGATGTCGCCTTCTGTCTCGTTCAGGAGCAACAAGTCTTGACCTCCCGGCTTGTGGCACTACATAAGAAACTCACCTTGGAGACGAAAATCAGGGACGCAGCTGTGTCATTATCTAGAGTCAATGCAGCTCACAAAAAAATGTCCAAGCAGACTCAGGAGCAACTGGATGCTGCCAACCACAAAGTTGATGTCGCTCAGAAAGAACTCTGGCGTGTCTCTGAGCGAGCTAATGAGATTACTCGCAAGCTACTTGAGCACCGTACCGCAGTCCTTGGTTTCTCCGTCCGGAGCTTGGAAAAGAAGAATGCCCCCAACGGCGATGTATTGGAATCTGATGGATCCGGCTACGACACGCCGAACCGGAGCTCAGCGATGAGCCCTACCTCTTCAGCGCAGACTAGCGTTTCATCCAAGGCTCGCTTTGAGGGGGCCCATCTGTTCGCGGGTCATGCGGATGCTGTTGTACCTCAAGTGCCTCGAGCTCCGCCGACCGTCGCGGACATCGTTGCTCTAGAGGAGAAGCTGAAAGCAGTTACGTCTAGTTTGAACGCAGCAAACAGGAAGCAAGCGGAAATGCGCCAGGAGCTTTCTATGCTACAGTTGGAGAAGGAGCAACTGGAGACCTCCGCACAACTGGAGGTCCAGAATGCGGAGGAGTCTGTCGCTTCCATGCAGCAAGAATTGGTGGAGGACAGAGAAGCGTGGGATAGAGACAGAGCTGCACTAGCCGAGCGGGACAGGCAGATAGAGATACTGGAGAGTAGGCTGGAGGTTCTTGAGGAGCAGAGCGGAGAGACATCTGAGCTACAAGACTCGTTAGTCCGGGCTCGGCAAGACGTGCAACGTAGGGACATGGAGATCGAGGACCTGAGAAGAAGACTCGAGAGTCAGACTCAGTCAAATAATGCCGAGCAAGCTCTCATTGATCTACAAGACGAGCTAGACAGATGCCGGCAAGACTTGCACAAGCTGACCGAGGACCACGGCATCATCGTATCGTCTCCGGATCCGTCGTTCTCTCCATCGATCGAGATGTACATAGAAGCTATAGCCGGCGACTTGGAGGAGCGGCGGCTTGCTCGACTCGAGTGGGTTACCGCACAACGTCGACTAGAAGAGGACGTACGGGAAGCCACCACCAAAGCCAATACCCTAGCCCAAGAGTTAGAGCGCGTCAAGCGCGAGAGGGATGAGGCAAGGACTGAATTGTCCACTATCCGCAGTCGTCCTGAGGTCAGTCTATGCTCTCCGGCCCTACAGCGGAATACTCATACTTCGACTTTGGCAGGAACCATCATCCGCTACTTCCGCCGCTGTGGAGTATACAGGCGACGCTGGCAAGGTGATGGCTGTTCTGCAGCCGCTCTGGGCCATCCTTCCTTCCCCAGAAGCGCGTGCATCCAAGCTTGGATCCAGAGCGTCCTTCAGAACCGCCTCCCCTACAAGCACACCCGGTAGCCCCAAGATAGGTGCGACGTCGCTTTCCGAGATGGACGTGCGATCCTTGAAGACGCTATACGACAATCGCGCGAATAACCCGGCGTCGGCGGACCCGTCTACCTTCTCTGTGGAAGCATTTGCAGCGAGAGTTCAGGCACTGGTTCAGGATGATAGGGCACTCATCGAGCGTCTGATACGATTTGCGCAAGCGCACGATCTCCTGAAGAAGAATGCGGAGAGGGCACAGAAACTCGCTCAAGAGAGTAATAACGCCCTGGAAACCTACCAGAAGCAGGTGAAAACACTCGAGGAGCGGCATGCTACTATGGCTGCCCGGCAATCCGCTTTGTGAGTAATGACATTTTATTCGGTGGACACTGGATTGACTGCGATGCTGGCAGACAACAAGAAGTGGAGCAGTTACAGGAGACTATTGAACGCATCACCGCTGAGAAGCATGAGGTCGAAATGCATGCTGCCGAGCAGGCTGAGACGTGCCGACAGCTCACGGAGGCTAACAACACGCTCAGTGCGAAGACGCTCACGTTGGCGGAAGAAGCCGCGTCAGCATCGGACGCCGTCCGGAGGCAAATGGAGGCCCAGCTAGCTGAATGCAGACAGTCGTTGCAGAAGGCGCAAGATGAGCTGGAGGCCGTGCAGATCTCCGAGCAGTCGCAACGGGCGGCCCTGTTGGACGAGTTGAATTCCATGCAGACGGAGAATGGCAATCTCAGGGCACAGTTAAGAGCTGCTGCCGCTAAGAAATAGCCGTAGTAACGTTGTCGAGGTAACGCTGGTACCTCTATGTATACATCGATTCAGTCACCTTATATTCGCCTGTCATTTTACATAATACCACTGGATTTTCTGCCGCAGAAAGAGCTAAACGAATGATATAAATGTATATTGTTACTTTGTCAAGCCCTCGTTGTCTAATGGTTATGACGTCAGACTTCTAATCTGGAGGTTGTGAGTTCGAGTCTCACCGGGGGCTTTTGATTTTTAACACCTTGCTTCTGTTCTCGGAGTTTTTGTCCTCCTGCTTGCATTTCGTTCGTGCTGAGCAAGCGACAGTGGTGCCCGTTGCAATCATTTGATTTTCTTGAGGATTCTAGGTACAGCCTATCGCCATGCGACCGGTTTAGGGGCGTGAAGTCGTTGCAGATTTGGCTTGTAGAGCAAGGGTCAATCATGGATAGTGAAGCTACCGTGGGTTATTACCGTAGGCCATTGACAAGCTTGCATGAGGGAAGTCTAAGATGGTATTGTTCAGTCGGAACGTCTGATGTTCCTGTACACTTGTTGTGTGATGTACCCCAATGCACTGTATCTCACTGTGAAACACAGACTATAGCAGTGCGAGTTAGCAGTAAGATAAATAGCGCCTTGAAAGTCTCCCGTTCAAGCTTGGGGGTACAGAGGTACTTAATTCTCAATCCAAGTTGTGGTCGTGCTTCGTCGGGGAAGGGACTAGTACTTGCAAATTTATGGAGCGGTGAAAAAATTTAGACAGGTATTCTGCGCAGTCTATCTGTTGACAAGCCATACTCAATGGTATACAAACATGCTTTCCTTCGTATTTATTACACCTTGCCGATTAACACGAAGTGGGATTCAGACGTCGCATGTGAGAACTAGAGTGGGTATAAAAGTGGGGAAGGATCCCTACCCAGAAATCGCAAAGAGGACGACATGTAGCACACTAAGATAGAGCTGCGTGAAGCACTTGTAAGACTGTCAACCTCATTACCGTCTGAATGCAGGACCTCAGTTGGTCGCGGTAATGGACACGGGAAAAGCCGGGAGATGCAGATCCAACAGATGTAGGTATCCCACAGCCCCATGCATCAATCACGCCGCCGGTACATGATTGCCCCTACAAACTGAGCTCTACTTGCAGCGTCCGAGGGGTGCCGGGCAGAGACAAAACCTTGCGCGCACAGTCCGAGACAAGGATAAGTAGCAGCCGGGAGCATTTGAGCGCGAAACTGATTGGAAGCACCGTTACGCTTCTGTCCGAGAGTTGCCAAATAAGGACAAGCTTCTGAAGGTTGATGCCTCGGCCGGCACCTGAGTTGCAGACAGAAAGATTCCGAGACGCACGAGAATGCAAGTCTTTGTGACCGAAACGGCGGTTATAGAACAACAACCATCTCAGGCTTGGTCGTCGTGCAGGCGGGTCGGGCAACGAGGCGCAGGGCAGCATTTGGGCAGAAACAGGCGCAGCTGGTGCGTGGCGAGTGTATCAGGATCTCATTTCTGTGGCTCAGAAGGACGCCAGCGAGTTCCCACGGAGAAGCACGAAGCTCGCGTAGCAGCACACTCCGGACCTCCCACACTCCAGAACCTCTTATTTATCTTACTCACAGCGTCCTCCACCGCCGCCGCCCCTCCCGACAATTCTGTCCGTGGCTGCGATGCACACAGCGAGTCCGTCGCTCGCCAGTCCCCGCGGGACCCCTGCTCGTCGCGGCAGAACCCCTCGCTCCAGGAGCGACACACCGGGCCACATGGCCGCGGGCACAATGCCCTCTGATGCCACTGCAAAACAACCCGCCACTTTTACGACCTGTCTCTCTATTCCTGTCGAAGGCGCAGTTCCTATTGAGAGGAATGAGGACCCGACCGTCACCCTAGTAGACGATACATCTGCACAGCCCTCCGCGCAGCCAACGAGAGCTCCGCGCAAGTCCAAGACGGACGCCCTGGCGGCGCTGCAAAACCAGTCGGAGGTATTTTTTGCTCCTCGTGATGGCTATAAATTCTCGGGACCATTCTGATTGTTCGTCTTCTGTAGCCCGAAACGCCCCCCATTCCTGTCTCACCTACTTTGGACATGTCGTCTGTCAAGACTTCCGCTCCTAGAAACGTGCCACCCAAGGCCGATTCTCGTCCATTCGGTCTGGAGGACTGCCCAGCCTTTTATCCGACGTCTGAGGAGTTCCAAGATCCCATGGCTTATATCCGATCCATATCGGATATTGCCAAAGACTATGGTATCTGCAAGGTGGTCCCCCCTGAAGGCTGGAAGATGCCGTTTGTTACCGATACGGAGGTTTGTGCATCTGTTCTGCGTAATGATACTTTGGGACCGTTCTCAACATGGGCGTATCATCCATATCAGAACTTCCGTTTCAAGACTCGTCTAATGCGTCTCAACTCTATCGAGGCTTCATCGAGAGCCAAAGTCAACTATTTAGAGCAGCTATATCGATTCCATAAACAGCAAGGTAACCCCCGAGTTTGCGTGCCGACTATCAACCACAAGCCCCTAGACCTGTGGCTCTTGAGAAAGGAGGTGAAGAGGCTCGGAGGTTACGAAGCGGTACGTGGCCGCAATTACTCCATGATCTGACGTACTGACAGGCACGACAGGTTACGAGGGCGAAGAAGTGGGCAGATCTCGGTAGAATTCTTGGATATGGCGGCATACCCGGTCTGTCGACCCAGATCAAGAATTCCTACACTCGCGTTATTCTCCCCTACGAGCATTTCCAGGAGCGAGTACGCAGTTCACCGTCGCTATCGCCGATGGCAACCCGTGATCCTCAGCTGAAGACTCACATGAACATTCAGTCGGGCGCTAAACTGAGCCGCCTTAGTTCGGCGGCTCTGACTGATGACACGACTCCCCCATCGAGCCCTCTCACAGCGACGTCAAGTCCATTGTCAGAGCCTCCGGACGAGGGTGATAATAGAGGCATCAACGGTGAGGGCAGCCGAACTAGAAGGAGCAAGCGGATGGGTTCGCAAGAGTATATGACCCGTGAGTTCCCGGTGGTCGACTGAGCTATATATGTGTGTATTGAGGCTTAACAAAATTTTTAGCGACTCCGAGCACGTTGCTGCCCTCCCCTGTGATATCATCTCCCGCTCTGCATGAGAAGAAGGACGACAAGTTACAGCCATCACAGGAGGTAGATGATATCTTCATGTTGTCTAGCCAGTTGCTGATCGATTTAGCAGACCAGCTGTGAGGTCTGTCACAAGAAGAATCGCGGAGAAGAGATGCTGCTCTGTGATGGTTGCGATTGCGGTTTGTGTCGAAAGGCTTCGTTCTTTATAAGCATAAGTGTGACTGATCGGGTCTACATCTACCAGGATTTCACATGTTCTGCCTTGATCCACCTCTGACGTCCATACCCAAAGGGCAGTGGTTTTGTCACACGTGTCTCTTCGGCACCGGAGGCGATTTCGGCTTCGATGAAGGACAAGAGCATAGTCTGTCTAGTTTCCAGGCCCGCGACGCTGCGTTCCGCAAGATGTGGTTCAAGACTCACCCGCCGTCGCAAGCCGACAAGTCGCAGCAGGACCCGACCGTGAATAAATTCGACGACGTGCTGGTATCAGAGCATGATGTCGAGGAGGAGTTCTGGCGCCTGGTACAGTCGCCGACGGAGACCGTGGAGGTCGAATATGGTGCGGATGTGCATTCCACCACCCACGGCAGGCACGTGACCCATTCGTCTGTCCTTTGCTCTTTATGCTCACTCAGCTATCCAGCGCCATGCCTACTCTGGAAACACATCCACTTGACCCCTACTCTAAGGATCCCTGGAATCTGAACAACATCCCGATTGTGCATGACTCTTTACTTCGATATATAAAGTCGGACATATCAGGTATGACTGTGCCTTGGACGTATGTGGGGATGGTATTTTCCACTTTTTGTTGGCACAACGAGGTATGCATACACTCCAGGTAAAAACCATAGATGTATACTCAGTCCATTCGTAGGATCACTACACGTATAGTGTTAACTTCAGTATGCGATCATACATACTCACCCGAAGCGACCATGGATTGACGCTGTTTTGTAGTGCACTGGGGCGAGACGAAGACTTGGTATGGCATTCCGGGAGAGGATGCTGAGAAATTCGAAGCTGCCATCAAGCGCGAAGCGCCGGATCTCTTTGAGGCTCAGCCTGATCTCCTCTTTCAGCTTGTTACCCTTATGAGCCCGAAGAGGCTCACAGAAGCAGGCGTGCGCGTATATGCATGCAATCAGAGAGCGGGCGAGTTTGTCATAACCTATCCGAAAGCTTATCATGCTGGCTTTAATCACGGCGTAGGTCCACTCACTATTACTATCGATTGTCATTTCTGATGCTTGCGCTCGTTTAGCTCAACTTCAACGAAGCCGTCAATTTTGCCTTACCTGATTGGCTTCCTTACGGGCTGTCTTGCGTTCAGCGATACCGAGAACACAGGAAATTGCCCGTTTTCTCCCATGACGAGCTTCTCGTAACCATTACGCAACAATCCCAGTCCATTCAGACTGCAATATGGTGAGGCGTGTTCTCATATCCGGCAACCACGCGATTTCTGACTTGCCCTCATCTGTTAGGCTCAACGATAGTCTAAAGGAGATGACAGAACGTGAGAAAGATGTCCGCCAGCGTGCTAGAGCTCTCGGCTTGACTGAGGTCCTGGAAGAGGAAGACCGTGCAGAGGACCAGTACCAGTGCACTGTGTGCAAGGCCTTTTGCTATCTCTCACAAATCACCTGCCCTTGTTCCACGAAAGTGGCTTGCATTGACCACGTCGCTTTCCTGTGCGAGTGTCCCGCAGGCCGTCGGGTGCTCCGCCTCCGATTTTCCGATGATACGCTCCTCGAAACCCAGGCCAAAGTAGAAGAGCGAGCAGCCATACCAGACAACTGGCGTGCGAAGTTGCACAAGACCCTCGCGGAAACTGCTCGCCCGCAGCTGCGTACTTTGAGGGCTCTGCTCGCGGAAGGCGAACGCATCAATCATCACTTGCCGGACTTGGCAACTTTGAAGAAATGCGTATATCGCGCTAATGAGTGGACGGATGCGGCCAATTCATTCATAATTCGCAAGCAGAGCCGTAAGCGGTCAAGGAAGTCCAGAGGCAATCGACCGTCCGGCGCGCACGATGATGCTGGCGACAGGCAGGACGGCGGGTTAGAAGAGGTATATGAGTTGCTGCGACAGGTCGACAACCTTGGCTTTGACAGCCAGGAGATAACGCAGCTGCGTAATCTTGCCAAGGAGGCGGAGGATACGAAGGCGAAAGCGCTGGAGTTGCTTCATACCACTGACGTGGACCGCAACCGAGATGCGTACATTCAAGAGTGCGAGCGCCTGCTCTTGCACGAGTCATCATTGAATGTTCACCTGGACGAACTCGATCAAGTCAAGAATCTCGTCCTACGCGAGCAGCTTATCAAAGAGCTGGAAGAGAAGATAGACGACCCTTCGACCACACTAGACGAAGTGAGACATCTCCTGTCACGAGCCCGCTCTATCAATATACCTGAAGACGACAAGTACATGATGCTTCTGAGGTCCCGCGAGCGTGCCGGCAGCGAGTGGGAAGAATCAGTGAAGCAGCTTCTCAGTAAACCTTGCAAAGATATCAACAAGCTGGAAGAATTCGCCAAGGTGGACCAAACGGTCCCTGTTGACCCCACTGTTTTCGATCGCTTGATGAACGCACGCGCCAAAGCCAAAGAGTACGAAAAGCAAGCCAGATTGTACCTTTTCCCAGAACCGGGATCTGCTAAGCCGCGACCCCAAGACGCCATGAAACTCGTGACGCGGGTCGAGAAGGACTATGCGATACCCTCGGTACACGACTTGAAGCGTACCGCCGAGTTTGCTTTGGACCTTGAGACCCGATGTGATACGGTCCTCAAGAACCGTTATTCGCACACAGAAGATGGTGACATGTTTGACATCATGCATCAATGGCAAGGATACGCGAGGGAGCACTTGACGATGTTTGCCCTTCCCAATTTCGAGAAATTGGATGCTCAATTGAAATCACACTACCGCTGGTTGGAAGGACTACCGTGGTATTGTCCCCAGCACCGTCAAGCCCACGGGAAACAGATTCTGGAGGATGTCATTGAATCGACCAGACCAGAAGACGACCTGCCTCCCAGTGACGAGTACTTCACCTGCATTTGTACTAAGGCCGTCCGGCCTCCTCCTCCTGGATCTGTTTCCGATGCAGTCCAGTGTGATCATTGTTATGCGCGGTTCCACGGCGTCTGTGCTGCGAACGGCGGTTCTTGCCCGTTTTGTGATCATCACCATTGGAATGGCGCAATCCACAAGGACCGGAGTTGGCATTTCTGCTATCTCCCAACCATCCTCCTCTCTGCTCCCGAAATCACCAAGAACTACTCGCAGGACTGGAAGGACCTTGAAATCATCGTACACCGCGTAGATCGTCTTTCCATGGTCATCGGGCAGTTCTTAGCCTTCGCATCGCAGACGGGGAACCAACGTCCTGAGTACATTCCTCAAGTTCGACATTATATGCGCAAGCTCTACAAGATCCAGTTCGCAGTATCGCCGAACCCTGAGGTGTCCTTTGGTCTTGACCTGGCTGGACTGCATCGTATACTCGCTGGGCAACCAGTGCCTGTTCGAATGAAGAAGAGGCGGCGACCCAGGTTCACCTTTGGCCAGGACGTGGACAAAGATTGGCAAGACGGTACTCGTTGCATCTGCAGGGGCCGTACATCCTATCTTCTCAATTACCCGAGGGTTGAATGCGAGCTGTGCAATAAATGGTACCATGCGGGATGCGTTTTCTTTCCACTTGAGCCTGGACCAGCTCCGACGAAGAATCGTTTCATGTGTCCTTTGTGCTGCCTGCGCAAGAATCGGACGTATCCCTATGCAGAAGTGAGGGTGAAGTACATAGGTATGTGTACCTGTGATCTGGGTTCACGGGCAATGTCTCATTCTCACCCGCAGAGAATACCGAGCCAAACACATATGTGGATACACGGGAAATGTTGGATACCTTTAGCAAGGACATAGTCTATATGAAGCTGCCGCCACCTTATACCAATACCCTCTTCGTGGAATTGATCCGCTTCACTCCGGGCCAGCCAGACAACATCGCGGTCAATGGCAATTCGTCTCGAAGTGTGGCGTCGTCTAGCAACTCTCGCCCGACAACCTCCAACCCTGCACTTCCACTTGCAGCACGGCCGTCGTTGCCAGTGCACGCACCGCATCCGGCCCCTCATACTCCGAACCCCGGGACTATGACGAGTCCGTATGAGCAAGCTCGACCAGTGCCTGTCGCCAATCCTGTCGGTGCAAATCACCTGCCCCCGCCACCACCCTGGTCGGGTAGATACAACGGTCCAAACGTGCCTCCTCCGGGAACGCCGTCCGCACTAGAGGCGCAGGGCCTGTCTCCTCACCTGTCGAGGAAGCGGAAACACCGCGAAGAAGTCCCATCCCCTCGTCACAGCGAACATGCGCCAGCTCCAATGCACTCCCCATCCGGTCTGGCTCCTATCAGGGGTCCGCACGACGCCCCAGAGACTCCTCCGCCGTCTCGACGGCGGAAGTATCCCAATGAAGGACATTCGACAATTGAGCATACATCTCCTGGGTCTCCAAATGCCAACCGGTCTCCCAGGCGTCCACCACCGTCAAGAGGCCCTCCTCCGCCCATGCCGGCATTAGCTCCTGCGCCGCCGAAGCCTCAGACTACCTCCCCCTCGTTGGCTAACCTCTTGTCGCCGGACCCCAATGATATCGTGAGAGGGAGTCCCCGCCATCCCCCTACCCATGACATGATCAGAGGTAGCCCACGCCACTCGTCTACCAATGGTGGTGGTGCCGGTGGTCCTTCGAACTACAGGCCGCAAGTCCGGGGCGAAGCCTCGCCATCACCTAACGTCGTGCGCAAAGTGAAGCTGGTCTATCGGGATCCATCTGCCTCGTCTTCGTGAGCCGCGCCTGCTCATGGTGTTTCATCCGCTGTTCTTTGCTGTGCCATCTGTAATGTTTTCTAGAATAGTGTGTATACTAGCGGGCTGTACTGGCTGTTTTCTTGTATCTGTCGCATGGATGGTCAATCGATATTGAAATCTTTGGGTTCATCGGATAATACTTGATCGCGGAGTTTTCGGGAACCCTATTACACGGGAGCATTTTGGCACTATGTGAGAAGCCCCAACCTCGATCACTTGATCGGGTGCTTCCCCTCCATCACTCAAGATGCGCCACGCACGGAACCTTGGATCTGTGCGATCGCAAGCAAGCGCCAATCTCAGAACCAACAGTATGGATAGTATGCGGATGGTATGTGAGGGTGTATCATTATCATGCGAAAATGCAAAGGCCGTACCAAAACGACATTCTATCGGTAACGTGAAAGTCGTCAGCAGCGTGCAACCCGAGATATCTCCCCTGGCCGTGGTCCTATGCAAAGGATCGGACAGGAAATGTCCCGACGATTCATGCAGCATCCCCACCTCCAGTTTCGTAGCACCAATGCCGCCGGAAGTCTCTCCAATTCTTCCTCGACCGGCGCTGTTGTAACTTGTGACACTGCAGGAGTTGCGAGTGCTATCGCCCCGCCATAAGCTTGTATGTGGAGTAGCCGCCGACGACAGCGAATGCAACCAGTGCACCGATGATGGACAAAAACCATGCATAACCCTACAGAAGCATGCGACGTGTCAACCCGGACTAGTCCTCGCGCACGGGCGGCTACACTCACAGGAACATCCTGACCGGGTACATGGACGTTCATACCCCACAGACCTGCAAAACGAGTTGATGAATAAATCAACTGCTTAAGACACAAGTAGACGCACCAGTGACGAGATTCATCGGAATCAACACCGTACCCAGGGCCGTCAGCTTGCTCAGAACGTCGTTGATTTGGTTATTGGCGTCCGTCATCTCGATGGATATCTGGGCGAGATAATTGGAGTGTGACCGGGAGAGGATTTTCTCGTAGTGGTTCAAGTTCTGGGTCATAGTGATCAAATGGTCCTGTGCAAGGAATCGGTGCTGTGAGCGTCCATGGTAAGTGGTGGCCGTTATCTGATAATTACCTGGATATCTGATAAGTAGAGGCCCTATAAAATTGAAGGTCAACGCTCTACCCGCTGATACTCAGCGGATGCGTGCTCACGATATCAGACGTAGGTGCGACCCTCCAGTTCTCGTTACACCTCTTCGCGAGACCCTTGACGACATCGGCTTTGTTTCCCATTAGCCGCAGTAGACCCATCACCTTCTTCCTGCACGTCCCAATCCTATGCAGGGAGGCACGCTCAATATCATACCGCATTCACCAAGCTCCCACTGTAGCGCACAATACTCACCTCCTTAACATGTCGCTCTGCTCAGCCTCCTTCAAGATCAATACCAACTCGTCGATACTATCTACCTCGTACTCGATGCTCTGGATTAACGGTCCGAATGCATCGGTGATATCGTCAATAAGGGCATAGGAGATCCAGTCCGATGTGACAGAGATATAGTCCTTGAGTTGCTTGATTCGTCGGCGGACGTTGGACGGATGGGGTGTTGGTCGGAAGTGAAACTAAAGGGTGAAGTCGTGATGACACCAAATATGACACAAATGAAAAGGGAGTTATCAGATAACATGTGCAGTGGGTTGAAGGGAGGGAGGCTACTCACGCTTAGTGTACCCTCTCTAAACACAACGACATACATATTGAGCGGTTGTAAATATGTAGGACTGTACGGGTCCTGTTCAAAACTCCTAAAGCACACGAAATAATAATTCCGAAACAGCTCGATCTTCTCCCGCGTCTCTTCCATCTGAATGTCTTCTGCCGTGAGTGGATGGATGCCAAATACCTGCAGATGACATACGCAGCGCATACATCCAGTAAATCTTTGGTATTACACAAAGGTAGAAACTGGCAGAGGAAAGGCCGCACCTTACTCAGCATCTTCATCTCCTCGTCTGTCGGATTCTGTACATCCAGCCACCACGTATTTCCCTCCACATCTCCCCCGCCCACACTGCCCACACCCCCAACAGCAGTCTTACTACTCCCGCCCCCATTGACCCCGGGCGCACCGCCCTTCTTCCCCCCCTCTGTCTTCCCAGCCCCGCTCATCGTCGTTCCCGTATTCGGTGTGCGCGGGCGCGACTCGTCCGTCTCCGTGCCAGAGGTACTCGCATCACGCACGCCCGCAAACAAATTCTCAAATGTCTGTCCCTCGGCTGGCAGCTCCGACAAGCTGCGTGCATGGATCGTCGCACTCAGCGCGTTCGAATAGAACGAGAACCGGTACGGCCGGTCGTGCCCCTGCCCCGCATCGAGACCCACGCCAGCCGCTTGCCCAGCGCCGCCGCCGTCGCCCAGGTCCACGACCACATTGTCCAGGCTGGGTATGGGGTTGAGCGCGCCCCCGCCCCCGCCGAGCGTCGGAGGCGGGGCGCCGGTCGCACCCTCGAAGAGCGCCATCTTACCTGCATCGCCGTGCTTGTGCCGCCGCGGCTGGGGCGTGGACTGAGAAAGCTTGCGCTGCCGCGCGGACGCGAAGGGGGATGATGGGAAGGACGTGCCGGGAGCACCGGACCCGCTGGGGCCTGCTTCGTCCTGCTGTGCTTGGGTAAGCTGCGACGCGCGCCTGCTGAAGCTGGGTGGCATTTCGGGCGGGGGTCCGGTGGGGGTGTGGATGCCCAGGCTCTTTTTCTCGCCCCTTGCCCATTCTTCCATGTGGTCAAAGTCGAAGTTGCTCCTGTTCATGTTCATGTTTGTGGTGTACATGGCATTGGGTTGATACATCGGAAGGCCGCCCATCTCTTCCTCACCACCGACAGTCATGCCCCCGCCCATCTGAGGGACCTGCGGGGTGTTGGCAAAGGTTGCGAGAAGGGACGGGTCGTGGGTCTGGTTCAGGTGGGGCATCTGGAGCGGTGAAGGGGTGACTTGTTGTTCTTGTTGCACGTTGGGAAGATGGAGGTGTGGGGACGGGGTGGGAATTTGGAAAGGGGAACCCTGCACCTCAGTATGGGCGTCGGAGATGTCTGACGGGCTGCGGGTCAAGTGCTCCTCATTCTCAGGCAGAACGGGGAATGGAGAAGTGTGTGTATGCGGCATCTGGGGATGATCCTCGGGGGAGATTTGAGGCCTTAGAGTAACGGGGGAGGCCATAGGCGATGAGACAGTCTGGGAGCGTGCGCGCGAGAGCTGCATGGCCATGTCGACGTCGAGGGTGCGCTGACGCTCGCGCGCGTCAGGGTCGTGGATCATTGCCCTCGAAAGCGTAGGCGACAGCCTGGACGGATGGTCGGGGATGTGCAAGTCGGAGGAGACAGAGACGGAGGTGCGCCTACGAACGGGCGAGGGCGTGTCGCGCCTGCCGACCTTGGGGGACGAAGAAAGCACGCTCGAGTCTTGCGGCGACGACATGGTCGCTGGACGTCGACGCTTGCGCGAAAGGCAACTGGACTGGACGAAACGGAAATGAAGATCAAGTCAGAGGACGACACCGGCTGAGCTATTTCCTGCTGCCAATCCCGAACGAGCGATAGCGTCCAGGAACGCACAACGTGGCCTCTCTGCGGCGTAATATGCGGGCGCAGCAGTCCGGGAACGTGCGCAACGGCGGCGGGTGCGAACGAGGACGCAGAGCGTCGCGGAGACCAGCGAGCAGAGACAGCAGACGGTGGCGGAGATGATATCACCGTAACATTCTACGTTGCCTATACTTGGTGAACAGCACAGCCACCCCCCTCTTCCCCGCCACTGCCGGCATTGCACCGCGAATCGTGTGCCAGGCATTCGAGAGTGGGCCTCGTCGTCGAAGGCACGTATTTGTACTGACTGCGGCACATACTACACCGACTGAGTAGGCTGAGGCAGTCATACCAGAAATCATAGCAATTATGTCTATTGCCCGCGACTTTGCCGAGCAATATGCGCACTGGAACTTGAAGGGATAGAAGGACCGCGTCCAGGCATGCCATACCAGCGGGTAATGATGCATGATGGCTGATAGCATTTCCCTCCCACCGGGAGTATTTCTTGGTTGCATGAAAGCACCCATCCATTGGACATCCTCGACTGATTCCCTCACAAGCGTCAATTAACCATGCTCGACGATGCGCTCAAGCAGCTGGCCGGCACGCCTGAGATTGGGGTCAAAGCCGACCTCACATGTACGATTGGCATCGTCATCCGTGTCATCATCGGCATATTTATTGAAGCCGCCAAGCATTTATCATCCATGAATGCTGCCAAAGTCATTGTAGGTGGTTGTAATGAGAAGAAAAAGAAAGCAGTCGCAGGTACGGTGTACCCTCCAAATACTCATGCGCCGAGTCACTCACTAGTTCATGCATTGGCGGAGAAAGCTACCGGCAAGCACAGCGCGGAGCTCAATCTCGGTCGCTTCTCTTCCGTCGATAGATTCGAAAGGGGAGGCGGCCGGCTCTATATCCTTGTCATAAACGCCGGTATAGCCATCCTCACCTAGAGGGCTGTGAAGGCTGACAGGCCACTCATCTAAGCAAAATGACGGATCGATGTCTGACAAGACTATCCGCACTTGATCGTCAATCAGCCTTGTGCTCTGCTGCTCCTGCCGTGCTTGCTCAAGACACCTTCGGACTTCTCCATCCAAACTCGACTTTTTATCGTGGCCAGTGAGATGCCAGTGCGTTTTTTGCCACCCTTGATGGCGATGTCAACAATAGCCCCAACGTACTCAAGAAGTTCCGCAACAAGGAGTACTGCAAGAGAACGTAGAGTACATTCCTTAACAGCCTCCCCGGTTTTGATTAAGCTCGCTTCCTGATATCCAGCATGAGACAGCGGTACGGTGTCTCCAAGCGTACATCTGCTGATTTCCACTGATTGGCTATTCCTAGACCCCGTTCGTCCGCGCCCTGGATTCGCGTCTTCCGCTGACGTCCGCGCTCAATGAATACTCCGTGAATCTGTTCTGCAAGCCCGAGTTGACGCGGCACATCCCGCACTTCTAAGCCGCAAAGCATCGAACATGCAGGCAAGACGCTTACGCGTGGACCTGCGAGGAGGGTTCGCGGCAGCTCGTGCGCCGGCGGGCTGCACTCGGCCTTCGAATTTCTCGATGTCTACCAGATTCGGGGAGCACATTCATTCCGGACAACAAGAAACGAAGCTGGATAATTTCGTCCTCAGCAAGGACGGGCAGGAGGCTCAGGACTCAGGCTGTCTTTAGGGAAGCAACCACGTGCATCCTCCATGTTCTGGACGCTCAGAGAAATCGCTTAGAATCCTGAAGGAAGTGACGACAAAGGTAACTGTTATTGTGCAGGAATATCTGTCCGCCTGAATGGAATGGCCAAGGAAAATGAATGCCAATGTAGCAACAGTCAGATTCAGTTAGTGTGCATGTGACACCAGCATAAATGATATAACATCACCATGCGTGACATTTCGTTGCGTGAGATAAATTGAGTTTGTGGCATACACGCCTGAGCGAATGATCACGGATGTACGAGCGTACAGAGACAGCTTGCGGCCAGGCGAGGCTTCGTCGCACCTGCCAAGCTTGGACGGGCCCGGGCGAAGAAAGTCTTGCGGTGACATTAATATTAATATTAGTATATGGTCGATGAACACTTGCTTGACTCGGAGAGGCGACCGGAACGAAAGGGAAATGGAAGTCTTCTCAGCTGAAACCGATACTGGCGAGGCAGTCTCCTGTCGCCAATTCCGAACAAGCGATGGCCTTCAGGCCTCAGATCTAGTCAGGCGCTGCAGACGGTGGCGGAGATGATATCACCGTTCGTTCTATATTACCCAAGGTTATCAATTCGTGTCCAGTCTACGCTACGCACACGCTACTAGGGCAAAGGAGGAAAGAGCAAACTCAGAGTTTTTGTGTCGAGGGAAGTTATTACGTGGTAGTATCGATACTGTACATACCTGCCTGCCGCATGCCAGGGAATCAAGCACAGCCACCTCTCCTCTTCTTGAAGGTACGTTTTCCTTCGGCATGGCACATATATACGTAGGCTGCAAGAGTCATCACAGAAACCCAGCGATTATACCGGTCTCTCGGCGTGACTCCGCCACGTACCCTTCGTCGAGCATTTACGCGTCCTGACGGCATGTCATACGCAGATGACTGATCGTACTTTCCGCTCACAGGGGCCAATCCCATCCTGTCCTACCTCCATCGGACCCATCCTATAAAAGGCCTTCATCAATGTAGATCCTGGCATCCCCACATACTCGTCCCATCACAATCACAATGGGCCAACTATCCAGGCTCGATGTTGCGCTAAGGCAGCTGGCCGGTGCGCCGGAGCTTGGGGTCAAAGCTGACCTCGCAGGCAAGACTGTCATTGTTGTCGGTGCCAACACCGGCATCGGCATCGAGGCCGTCAAGCACTTCTCGTCCATGAATGCTGCCAAAGTCATTATGGCTTGCCGCAGCGAGGAGAAAGGCAAGAAAGCAGTCGCAGGTAAGGATTGCCCTATGAGCCCCATGCACGGGATTACTGACAAAGTCGTTCAGAGGTCGAGAAAGCTACCGGAAAAAACAATGCGGAGCTTTGGCTGCTCGATCTCGGCCGCTTTGCTTCCGTAGTCGAGTTCGCCGATAGATTTGAGAAGGAAGGCGGTCGGCTCGATATCCTCGTCATGAACGCCGGTATAGCCACCGGCACCTACGAGGACTTTGAAGGATGGGAGTCGACGTAGGCCACTGATACAATCGGAATGATGCATCGAAATCTGACCAGAATTGTCCGCAGCTTGCATGTCAATCATTTGTCCACTGCCCTGTGCTCTTTGCTTCTCATTCCACGCTTGCTCAAGACAGCTTCCGACTTCTCCATTCAGACCAGACTCGTTGTTGTGTCCAGCGAGGTGCATCACTTTACCACCCTTAGCGAGGAAGTCAGGAACAGCCCCAGTATTCTCAAGAAGCTCAACGAAAAGGAGTACTTCCAGAAGAAGTAAGCACATCCTCACTATCCCCTCCCGAAGTTTTGCTTAGACTCACCTCTTCCATATAGCTTCATGGATCGATACCCTGTCTCCAAGCGTGCGTCTGACAACTGTCCCGACTTTGTCATCGCCAGATATTGACCATAAAGATAGTTCTGAACGTGCTCTTTGTTCGCGCCTTGAATGCGCATCTTCCGACGACATCCCCGCTCATCGTCGATGCCGTGAACCCAGGGTTCTGCAAGTCCGAGTTGACGCGGAATATCCCGGATTTCAAGCCCCCGACCTTCGAATACGAAGGCAAGACAATCACCCTGACCGCATGGACCTCCGAGGAGGGTTCGCGCCAGCTCCTGTGGGCTGCGCTGGGCCCGCCGAACCCAGCGGACACTGACAAGATCAGAGGCGCTTTTGTTTCGGGTAACCATATCGAGGAGCCGAGTGATTTTGTCCTCAGCAAGGAGGGGAAGGATGCTCAGGACCGCCTATGGGTGAGCATTGCAGGCGCATCATACTTGCTGCGGATACTGAAGTACTTTACAGAATGAGACGCTTGAAATTCTGAATGAAGTGACGCCCAAGGTGAATGCCGTAGTGAAGGAATATCTGTCTGTTTGAGTGGAGGTCGAGGAAGTAGCACTAATGTAACATCAAGCAATTCCAAGTAGCATGCACGTAAACGACCACGGATTATCTGGCATTCTTCTCAGACGTCGGGTGTATGTTTGATTGGGAGAAACTGATTGAACCGCGCGTCGTCGAAGAATTATCTATAAGGCCTGGTGTCGAGTACGGAGCGCATGGAGAGAACGACGGATACTTATTAATCGTTATGTCCGAAAATCTACTGGCGCAAGAAACAACCGTATTCAGAAAGGCTATAAGATTCCACAAAGGGGAACATAGTACAGTCAAATTCTCAGCGCTCGGCGAGGTTGAGAGTCGCACGGGTTTAGTGGCATCGATATCGTTGCCCAGTGAATGGTACTTGCTAAGCATCGACACAGCCACTGCGGCGATCGACACCACTCCATCGGAATTGGCCGTGTCCAATCAGAGCTCACTCCTGTTCAATGACACGGCTGGCCTCGTTTCTGGGCCTGGTATCAGTACTGCTAATATGGGTTTCATACAAAGCTGCATCGGAGACTGCGTCTGTTCTCTCTCCTCAGGGATGCAGGATGTCCTGGATGTCACCGAGCTACGTCCTCCAGGATGAGTTCGACAAACGTTGGACACGTCTGAGTAAGCGCTATTCGCTGTGGCTCTATCGTGAGGTTGGGTGGGACTCTCATGAAGTGCGTATTTGAAGTACCTTTAGATTTTTATATGATCTGACTGAACTCAGTTGCAAGGCTCTCCCGTCCTATTCATCCCAGGCAACGCGGGATCCTCACGCCAAGTGCGCTCCATCGCATCCTCTGCCACGCGCCAGTACTTTTCCTCGCCTTCAGTCCCCTCACCTGAGTTTGCGAATACTAATGTCAAACCTCTCGACTTCTTCGCGCTCGAGTTCAACGAAGACCTCTCCGCGTTCCATGGGCCGACGCTTACCGCCCAGACCTCCTACGCCCGCGCGGCCATCTCGTACATCCTCTCCCTCTACCCTGAAAATACCACGGTGACCGTACTAGGTCACTCTATGGGCGGCATCGTGTCTACCTCACTCCTCCCAGATGCCCGCATCTCGTCCGTCATCACCATGAGCACCCCGCACACCCTCCCTCCCGCCCGTTTCGACCGTCGCATTGACGACATATACGAGAAAATTTCTGTTGTGCTGGGTAAAGACTGGACGCCTATACTGAGTCTGTGCGGAGGCGCCATCGATATGCAGATCCCCTCAGAATCGTGCATCCTCCCTAAGGCAGAGAGCGACGAGATATACCGGCGAACGGTTTTTACGACTGCCCTGGAGGGCGCGTGGACGGGGGTAGGCCATTTGGCAATGGTGTGGTGCCATCAAGTCCGGTGGAGGGTCGCGCGTGCCGCTCTAGAGCTCGCGGCCCTCGCGTCTCCTTCACCCGGGGACAAGTCGCGAGTGCTAGACCAGTGGCTGCCTGGTGGTGATGGCCGGACTCTCCTTCCTACTGATGAGAAAGACATGCTTGTACTGGGCGAACGACAAACGTATGAAGCACTCCCAGAAAATATGAAGCTTGTACTCAAGAATCCGACTGGATCGCATATGTACCTCCTGCCTGTCCCATCGTCGCAGTCCGGGAACCCTACAACATTTATGCTCTACCTGTCCGGGGGCAACATGCATCCATACGACAAACACGTACAACATCTACAGTCCAGACTGAGAGTATCTGTCCATTTATGCTCACCTTCTGCGGATGTCATCCCGGAACGGAGATGTAAGCCCCTGCAGCCGGCCACTCTGAAACTAATTCCCAATCCCACCTTGACGCAACCATTTCCTTCACCGGATGAGGGAACCGACGAGAGCGAGGGTGTCGTGATGTTCAGCGCGGACATCCCTGAAACGCACGAGGGCCAAGTGGCAGTGAGACTTGAAGAAGCTGCGGGTACCGGCTGGATCGTCGCTGCCATAGAGGAAAGAAGTACAATTGTGAACACAGCTGGCTGGATTGGTATGCACTTCAATCCGTGACTTGCTCGTGCTGACTTTGAAACGGCGTCTTTGGGCCGGGGTAGCTCCCTTCGCCAGTGAAGTGTCTGTCACAATTAGAAATAATCCGGCGCTTGCCCAAGAGATATCTTTTCCCAACTTCCTCTCGAATGCGCTGGTGGTCTACCGAGTAAATCACCACTTCGTCACGGACCAGTCGACCTGCTCGTGTTCGTAAGCCGCAGTAGATTCTCCTGTCATACGATGCACTGACACTCCCAGCTACAGCCGCTCTCCTTCCTCCGCTGTTATTGCATACCTCCTCAGCTGTTGAAGCCTCCTACCACCCTCTCAGCCTCCCTCCTTCTTCTCACCAGACCCTCCTGCACACGCACGCCTCAGCGCCGTACATCTCTACCTTTGTGCCTTCTTCCGACCTGGACTCGGATGCTGCCACAAGCCACGGTCTCCATTTAAAGCTCCTCACCAGCAATGAGCAAAGTTCATGCAAGGTTGATGCCATAGCGCTACGGGTCGACTGGTGGGCTACGCTTGGACGATGGGCAGCTCGATACTGGACCGCTTGCATCATCTGGAGCGTAGGAATCGCGTCGATTTTGCTGTTCGAAGCGATCAAACAGGGGGAAGAGTGCGGTCAGTCGAGCTCGTTCGTTCGCTTTACTCTCTACGACTCATTGATCATGTTACAGAATCCGTGGCCACCCCCATACTTAACCTACACGCCTGCATCAAGGGCGTCTTGCCAATTCTACTTCCCCTTCTCTTTTTGACAGCCCTTCTTCCGCACCCCACAGCGTGGTATCTAGGTCTGGGCTGGCACGGCTTCGGACTTGGATTGATTGGAGGGTGCATAGCAAGTATTCTTGTGATTACATGCTCAGGGCTCGTAGCTGTGACATGCTTCATACTCTATTGCAGCATAGCTGCGATGCGCAGGCTTACTAGAATCTTTGGAAGGTGTGTTCCGTACGCCGTAGCTGTTCAACTTACCCCCCGTGATGCATATTCACCACACCCTCAGACCAAGGGAAGACATCAGCGTGCGCCGCAACACCGTCCTGTCTATGGCCTTGATATGCGTCCTCGTATTCTTCTTTGTGCCCTGGCAAGTAGCTTTCCTCGGGAATTGGCTCATCCTTCTTTGGACCTGCGCAATGAAGTCCGCGACGGACAACAACCCCTCTTCTCCTCGAGTCGAAGCAGTCCCACTTATGCGGATGTCCGGAAACGCGGACAATGATAACAGCTCGCCTTCCCCAATGAGACAAGATACCATTCCCCCTCGGTCGTCATCCCACCAAGCACCGTCCAACCCAGCATCATCTCGCAACTTCTACCTACATCTTCTCCTAATGAAGACTCTTCTACTCCCCCTTGTGGCGCCTGTGCTAGCTGTCTGGGTGAGAACGCTATACACGGCAGGACTTACGACGCCTTTCGACGGGGACCATAATTTCCTCTCCGTCCTTCCTTGGCTGATACTCGTAGATTACGCAAGCTGGACGAGAGGGGGAGAGCTGCTGGGAAGGGGGCCGTAAGTGTTCCTTCAGTTTCCCATCCCTGTATCACACTCTGACCGCGCACACCACCAGGTATGAGGGCCTATCGATGCGGTGGCTATTCTTGGTTCTAGCATCGGCAGCGTTCCTGGTTGGACCTCGGGGAACTTACCGGGTCTTCGAAGTAGCCACCATAAGCATGACTTCGCTCGTCGGGTTCAGAATAGGGCCTCGGTATTGGGGCTCGGAATTCGGCCACCTTAATCCAAGATTATGATGTACTTGCACGCATGGTAGCCCCTAAATATTCTCGCCGGTGATATCCAAGTTTCTCGTCATCGCGCATCTATATCTCAAGACAATCACACCGTTCCAAAATGTTTTAACAACCAGAGCGTATGATGCAGATTCTTGGTCATTAAGGGACAAGAAGGAAAGCGTAATAATGAGATGAGGATTCAATAAGAGAAATAAACTGCCGACGATGAGGGGTCATGATGATACGGTATGGACAATGCGATGCGGGGGGAGGAAGGGAATGCGAGAGCAATAATAAGCCACATGAAGCCCAACAACGCTCTAACACGAGCGCCTCCGACAAACAGAAAACCAAAGGGGGAAGCGTTTAGGCGGCCTCCTCAGCGGGGGCCTCAGCAGCCTCCTCCTTGTCAGCGGGCTTGTCTGGAGGAATTATAAGCCTGGCATTCAAGGATATGGTACCAGTTGGCCACTTACCGCTGTCCTGCATATCTGAAGTCCAGAGGGTCAAGTTGTCACGGAGCAATTGCATGATAAGGGTGGAGTCCTTGTAGCTCTCTTCTGAGAGCGTGTCGAGCTCAGCAATGGCATCGTCAAATGCCTGCTTCGCGAGATGGCAGGCACGGTCGGGGCTGTTCAGGATCTCGTAGTAGAATACCGAGAAGTTGAGGGCAAGACCAAGACGGATGGGATGTGTGGGGGGAAGCTCTGTGACGGCCACGTCAGAAGCAGCCTTGTAGGCCTCGAGCGACTTGTCGGCGCTCTCCTTCCGGCGGTCGCCAGTGGCGAACTCCGCGAGGTAGCGGTGGTAGTCACCCTTCCTGTCGTCACGATGCTACGTCAACGTCATGTGACTCGGAAGAAGAATACGGTACGAACATCTTGTGGTAGAAGACCTTCGACTCGCCAGAGGCAGCAGAAGGGATCAGGTGCTTGTCGAGGACGTCCAAGATGTCCTCGCAAATCTTGGCCAGCTCGGACTCAATCTTCTCCCTGTAACCCTTAATCATCTGGACCTGGGCTTCGTTGCCCTTCGACTCCTCCTTCTGCTCGATTGAGGAGACAATTCTCCACGAAGCACGGCGGGCACCGATGACGTTCTTGTATGCCACCGATAGGAGGTTGCGCTCCTCAACAGTGAGCTCCTGGTCTGACGAAGCGACGCGCTTCATGTTCTCAACCATCTCTGCATACAAATCAGTCCCTGATCGGCGGACGCGGCCACGTCAACGTACCCTCATACCTCTCAGCCTGCTCAGCGAGCTTGGCGAGGTAAACGGAGTCTTCACGCGACTGGGACATCTAAACGCGACAGCAGTGAGGAACGCGACGGAACGCGTCGACGCGTGCAGAACGTACTGTAGAAGAGGAGATATTGACTGGAACACGCGAGGGTCAGTGCAACGTGCAGGACAGAGAAGAGGGCAGACTGACACGATAAGGAAAAGGCGGTTGGGGCGAGCGCAGGTGATGATGGGTGTAAAAGTGAAAGCAAGCGGTTAAAGTCACAAAATTAAATTCCCCCTGGGCAAAGGGTTGCGACATCACTGGGTTCAGGGTTCCCACAAACAAGCGCAAACACAGCGTTCCCACGCACCCTGGTGGCCTTCAACAACACCCCTGATGTCGATGTATGCGGCGTCCTTTCTTCGTCTCTATCACTGCCGTCGCTACATGCAATTTGTTTTTGCTCTATCAGAGTCACCGCTGTGTTGCTCAGCCTGACCCAACGCGTTTTAGATGTATCAATGTATCAGGACGCAAATTCGCGCGCAGACATTGTCGGTGTCAGTGCATATCTTTGGAAGCCTCGTACGACAATGCAATCCGATATGAATGTCTGACTGATACACAAAGAAGCCCGTTTGCGTGCTATCCTAGACAACCCTTGACCCATCCATTAACGCCCCAATATGAGGGTCTCAGGGTTTCTTCCACTGTGATAGCCACGTCTTCATATAGCCAAGCGCCTCATTCTGCACATTCATGACCGTGGCATCCACTTCCGCATTTGCCACGATCAGGTCGGAGCAGTGGTATCCATCGCCTACCGCGATAGGCTGTGTGGGGGTACTCGGGACGTATACCCCATCAGCGGAGACAGTGGCCTCTCTCCATGGATCCCCTATCAATGGAACAAGGTTGCGTCAGCTTTCCTGTCATTGTCCGCACGTGGACTGATGGTTAACTGGATACCACATACGTTGACCATTGGCGAAGAAAAGTCTATCGACTTGCAGGTTCCAACCATGGTACTTCGCGTTAGTCGCCGTGACATTTGGAACAGGCCAGGTCGGGAATGCTTCTGGGAACATGTAAGAGCATTGACGCTGGAACGACAGATGTCAGTTATCTTCCATGCCAGCGCATCTCTGATATACGCATACCTCATCGTACGCAGGCTGGACAAGCCGGGTGACGAGAGTCGGCCAGTTGGGCGGGGCGCCGTCCTGGAGGAATCCTACTTCCGTGCAGCTGTGAAGCATACCAAGTTAGCATACGAGCCGCGGCTATCTGAAAGGTAGTCTCACACGATCCATTCCCAAGACCTTCCTGCATTGTCGATCGAAGTGTCAGTCCAGTACGATTGGCTCTGATCATATGTTCCCAAACAATCCCTGTAGAACGTCAACTTGGTGCGCTTATTACGCGAGTTATGATACTCACTCAGCGTCTGCGTCGCCGCAGACTGAAGACAATCATCAGTGTCCTCTCCGGCGCCAAAATGCTGTGACTTACGAATTGGATAATAGACGTTGGCGAAATACGAGCCCCATGCCTGAAGGGCGTGCTCAAGGCCCCAGCCGGTGGCAGGCGCACTGACGCCATTCTTGACCTCCAAAGCATCACAGAACTGGAAGAACTGCGCGCCTGGTCCGGTGTCGGGTGAGAGAGACTGCCAGTCCCATAGGTTATTCCGCACTGCCCTTGTGCGTGAGTATAGCGAATCGCGGAACAAGAATCCTTTGACCTACGAGCGCCTGCAACATCGTCCAAGTGCGTCACGTTGCTCATTCCGAACTGGGCTTTCAGAGCAGCGATCTGGGATGGCGTCCCCGACGTGAAGACTTGGTCCATGTGCGCGATAACGGCTTCTACGTCTGCAGAGCAGTTCCTCGGCATATACTGGCGGATTGGTTCGAAATAACCCCAGTAGTCACTGCAAACAAATAATTTTAGTTGCCATTTCTGACGGAACTAGTGTTACTCACAGGATGGCTTCCACTACGGCCGAAGATGCATAGCCAGCGTAGAACACATCGGGCTGGCTACAGGACCGTCAACAGCTGAGCGTCCTCCAGAAGTACGGATACTCACTCAACCATGGTCCAGCCCGTGAGCGCCCCAGAGTAGCTTCCGCCAATCAGAATCCACGGGGCTTGATCTGGTGTCACGGCGTCACCGCCAGGCATAGGTAGCTTCACATTCTTAGCGAAGTAGACCAAGTCCTGCACCGCTTGCTCGATGGTGTGCACTCTAAAACTCTGAGAGCTCAAGTCTGGGTACGGGTTGGACAGACCATAGAACCGGTGCTCCAGAACAATGGTGGCGCCGTTCTGCTGCTGCGCAATGCGGCCATTGATCGTCCTGTTCGTCAGGTAACCGGTGTAACCTGTCAAAGAGGGACGGATTTTTAGAAGCAAAGATCGGACATACTGCGGTCATATACGCACCCGCAGCATTCACCTCCCCTGGGGTCATCAAGATGATGGGACCGCCTGCACACTCAATTGTAAGTCATAGCAACGAGCGTTCAAGTTCGCATCACTGACCCTCTTCGTAGTTTTCCCATGTGTGCCAGTAGCGTTGCTGGAACGTACCCAAGCTAGGATTGTTATGATCAATCAACTGCTCGAAGTAATAGGTGGTGTTGTAAGGGGGGATGACCGTCCCGTTGCGACTGGTGACGGCCGTGTCCGAGGGCGCGTCCATCGCGGGGGCCGCAGGGATTGGAGGCAGGTTGCCGTTCGGCCTCCCATCGCGAGTAAGAGCAGCCACCAAGGAGGTGAGAACGAAAGGTAAACCATATCTCAGAAGACCTCGGCCAGCCATGTTGACCAGAGTACGTGCTACCGCTGCCTCAGGCTACTGTCCGGGGAAGGCACTGGCGGGGAGGGCCCGGCGCAAGAAGATCACTTGAGGTTCTTATAGGTCTAACCGCGTCGCACGCATACCGGGCTTCTAAGCAGATAGCGTTTTTGGACTGGCTGCGAAGGTACATACTGTGTCACTCTCTAGTGGTCCATATGGAAATGCCGCGATAACCTGGAAATGCCGCAATTTCGCGTGGCATGACGCTGCTTCTAAATCCCACCACCGGAGAAACAACTCCCTGATATTGTGAAGTAAGAAAAGAGCGGAAGGCAGAGACGATTATGCATCCAGAGCAGGAGATAGATTGCAGCATTCAGGTAGAACTCGGAAGCTTATTGGAAGGTTTACTGGGTGGTGGTTTGGCTCGAGATATTACCCTGAATGGTAACGCATGTCAAGATCTAGGCCAAAGCGATCTCAGATCTTCTGGATCTCCTCTCCAGATCTCACGTTGCTTGCTGGTTTCGTTTCGTGGACGAGACGTTCGTCGGTGAAGCTATAGCTTGCGGCAGTTCTAACATTGGCCATGGTGCTCATTCAGGTAGCAGCAGCCACGCCTGATTTTATGCTACTGCGTAGTAATCGCCCTCATTCGACCCTCACGTCTAAAAGCCATGACATACAGATCGAAATGGGTGGTCACCCGTCCAGCTTCACGTTCTCTGCAATTGGTCAAGTAGGACCAAAGTAGGACGACGGCGCTCCGTCCAATTACACAGTACTTACAAAGGCTGAGGATATACTTATTGCTGATATATTGATGTCCAGCAGACGCGTTGCTGTGGCGTATACAAGCCTGACTTGCTCGCTGTAGGCACCACTATCTTCAACGTTGGCTCTTGGCTCTGGACCAGGCTGCATAGTGTCTGTAAAGCTCTTTCTCGAATCTTTCTTCGTAGGACCAGCGCTACGTCATGAAGACGCGTACAGTAACGCGACGCGTTATACGCGTCCTGTCACGCTTCCGTTGGTACAATAGCCATATTATTATCCACTTCCTTCTCCGCCACCACCAACCTCCACGTCTCTTCCCTCTCAAACATGACAAGCTTGTCAGATTCCACTAACTCGAAGAAGCGCAAGTCGGACGCTTCTACTGGCTCTAAGGCCAAACGCGCCCGCACTGGCGCCGCCGCCGCGGTAGACGCTATCCTTGCGAACCCCGACTCGTACGACGTCCCTGAAGACAAAGATACGGCCCGCAAGCTCCTTGTTGAGCTAGCCGAATATGCGAGGAGTCTTGAGGGAGCGCTTGCTACCAGCGGGTCGGCGGTGCAACCCAAGTCTAAGGAAGAACTCGAGGAGGCCGCAGAGAAAGTTAGGAAGGCCGCTGTCAGTGGTATCAAGAAACAGATGAAGGTTTGTGATTATACAACCCCTGTCTGTATTAACTCTGATGCACGCGCATTCAGTGGAAGGACTCTTGCAAGACGGGGACGGCGAAGTGGTCGTACGATGGCATATGCCCGGACCCTCTGGTCTTCGGCACAATGATGGGACTGGGTGGACCTCCCAAGTTCAAGACGAAGAAGATACCCAAGGACGAATTCGAGAACTTGATTGGAGATATCTCGGTACCCGTCAGGTAGGCAGAGAGGTTCTGATCCTGGAGCATATACTCATCCTAGTGGCGCGGCAGATATGATGAGTTGATCATCACCAGTAAGGATATCAATGTTCACTGGAAAGACAGTGGCGAGTTCAAGTTCAGTGGTTCGTACGGGAGGATTCGGTGAATTCGAAAAGCAATGCATTGTCCATCTTACTTACCTTAAGGTGACCTAACTATCCAATTGCGTACGATGAACAGAACCACTGATGTAGCCTTGACTATAGGAGACTGCAGTCATTCCAACGGTGTGATCATCATTATGCTACATGCTTCACTGTAATTATTCTAGCTGCTTTCGAATATTTTGTCCTGGCTCGTTCGTATGTGAATGGAATGCGATTTCGATTTCGTGAGGGTTATGCACGCTCCGTCCGTGCTACAGCCAAAGTGCGTGCTTGAGGGCCATGCGGGCATACCGCTATGAATGCCCATATACTTCCATGCATCGTCTCTGGAATGCGTCTACCATGAGTTTTGAGACTTGCCCGAAGAACGTGACCGACACGGTTGCGTGGAGAGGATTCGCAAACGCGTAAGCAAGGTCTAGAGTAACAAGCGTCCCAGGATGTTTCCGGCTGGCTAGGGTTGACTCTGGTCCGCTCAGCTGTGCCACGTCCGGATTCCGAGGTCCAGAGAGCGGGGGATCTCGTCTAGGAGCGTTCGCGAGCTGAGACGGGAGCTCGTGGAACCTCCACGTAGTCGTCAGACTCTTGAACAATGGGCTTGACGAAGAGGCCGTTGCCTTTCAGAATGTCAGCATGCTGTGAATCGCAGTGGTGTGCCCCGAGTCGCTGACCTCTACAGATTCATACGGCGTGCACACCACCTTGCTGATGTAGCTCTCCTTGAAAGACAGAAACCCGACAGTCAATTCCGCTTCCAGCTGCTTCACGGATGGAGACCCTCCCTTGGGTGCTGGTGGTGTCATGATACGAGCGCCAGTGCAGAACGGTACAAAACGAGGATACGAGGCCACGTCGGCGACAACGTCATATAACTCTTCCCGAGTGTAACTGGTTAACCCGTTAACTTAGACTGGCGTGTAATCGAGGAGGTATAAGGTCGGACTAGCGTACGGCAAGACCTTGCGTTCATGATACGTCTGCGGCTTGGAACCATTGTCGGGGAATGGAGAGAACGACGATAGACTGAAGATATGCCTGCGCCGGCATACGGGTACATGGGAGCACTTTAGAGCGAGTTTGCGTATTTGCGATCGACTTGCCATGAACGTCCGCGTCAAGCACCGTGAGACGCTCGGTCCACTTCGAATAGAGCCGTGTGGGTCCGGAAGTACATACAGCAGATAGGAACGTCGCACTTAAACTGATAGATCATCAGAGGACTCAGAGCAACAAGGGGTTATACATGAACTATTGAAAGGGGCCGGAGGGGTGTCGGAGTCTCGACCCAAATAACGGCGAGGACGTTCGACTAACGCAGTTGTCCATTGTCATCGACATGAGCTCGGTACCCAGAAACGCCCATGAGCACACGCACGAGCCAGTCTGCTGGTTCACCTGCGGGAGACACGATAATGGCTTGTGTCATTGCCCCTTCTCCAGAATGGGAGCGTCAATCATCACTTGCACGATGGTGGGCACGGAAGATCATACAATAGCTCGACGCAAGCACCGCGCCGAGGCTGCATAGTTTAATACTGTGTAGAACACGTCGGAATGATCAGCATACACTAAGCACCGGTCTCGTAAGTGGTATTTGGATGTCCCGAAGATGAAGAGAGGGCATGTCGCAGCGTGAGTGCTTGGATCTACGGCCGGGGTAAGGAACTCGAGAGAATGTGCATCTTCTAAGCAGCCGCGAATTCCGCATTTTCGGGGCAGTCCCTAGCGATCTGGGATATGTAAGCACTTCGGATTAACTCTGATAGTGTTCACGGGACTTACATGTCCTTCCTGTTGGCATTTGTAGCAGGTCTTGCTCCTATTGGCACCAGGAGCCATCTCGGTAGTGGTTCCTGGAGCGGCAAGGCAATCCCTACGACACGTATATGATGAACGGCAAATAAGCTAGGATATAATGGCATACCTCGCCATATGGTTGGGCCCGCCGCATCGATAACACTTCACAGGGGGCAAGGTGGACGTGTTAAGAGCACGGCCAGGGGGAGGGGCACGCGACGCGAAACCAGTTCCGCCGGTCCCGCTAGGGCAGAGACGAGCAATGTGCCCAAACCGACCACAATTCTTTAAGGAAAGCGAAGTCAGACATGCCCAGCAGCTTCGTGCCGTCTGATAACCTACGTAGCACTTCTGACCACCTCCTTGTACCCTGAGGCTCGGACATTCGGCCTGGATGTGACCAACGCCTCCGCACGAGTAGCACTGCTTCATGGAAGCAGTGCGAGGCTGAGGACACGCAGAAGACTCATGGCCGGGTTGGCGACAATTGTAGCAGAGACGCTGTTCCGAAGTGCAGTTCTCCGCAATGTGCCCCACTTCACCCTCAAACGTGAGCACAAGAATGAATGTTCTCTGGACAATGTAGGCTACATACTGTTCCCGCACTTGAAGCATCCCTTCCTAGAAAACTGATACGCCATCCCGATATCCTGCTAATTGAATTACTCCCACCGGAGATACTACCAAATTTCCGCGACCAGGCGTACCTCCAGATACCCTCACTTCACTTCACTCTGCAAATTCCCTTTGCCTTCCTTCCTTCCTTCCCTTACCCTCCCGCGCGTATGCGAGGACGATACTGACAGAGGTGATGGTTGGGATGAGAATCAGTTAGGAAGTCCCTGCCGCCGGAATGAATCAGCGGCACCGCCCCTAACGGAGTTCCAATGGCCCCTGACCAATTGTAAGGTTCCCTCCTTACCGTCTGCGAAACCACGCAAGAATAGACTATAACGCCATGCTACGGTGCATATGCTGACTCGGAGGCCCTGAAGCCAAACACCGAGGAAAGATGGCCGGCCACGATGAAGTCCTTCTTTTCCCGTTTCGAGCGCGCAGAGCATCCGTCTTGAACTCGTCTGGCGCCCTGCCCTGCTTCACGTACCTTCTGCGCATGATCACGCCTATCGTCCCCTTCTAGACTGCTGCCAATGAATCCGGCGCGCCTTGTATTCCGGTAGTACTCCGGGGAATAGCCTTGTCGAGCATGTTAGCCGTAGCGGCCATCTGTCGGTGTCGGCCGGGCTCTGATGCAATCGGCGGACGTCAGTCCCTTAAGTGCGCCTTTGCGCTCACAAGAATGATGTAGTTTGTCCTCCTCCCCTCTGCACCGAGCCTGGTGGGCCCCGGTAGGCTTCACGCTCAGTTCTCCTCCCGGATTTCGCTCATCTTTTGTCATGCATAGTGATGGCGGCTGTAGATGCCACCCATCTCCCAGAGTGCCGCCGACCTGCGGGCATTTTAACGTCGCGCTTCTTGTGAGGTTGTCCAGGCGACTTCCCTCGAGAGGTGTGTATTGCCGTCAGATGTTCGTCGACCCCAACCTGAGATTTTTGGAAGCCGCCATTCTCTTGTGACGCCACTGTCCAGTCTCCCAAGGTGCGCGAAAGCAAGTGCGCGAAGTACTGGCCGCACGTATGCGAGAAGGGTTCCGGTTTTACGTTCTTAGCCGCCGTCCTCAGCGGGTACGCTACACATGCTTGACGATATTTCACCAGACCTCAGATGATGACGCAGATATGCTGGAGTACGGGTCCTGTAGTTGCTGGTGTAACGTTGTTACCCGAAAATTCCACTCATTTGCTAAGTCATCGTCTTGCATTGCCCCTCTGAGTGTTCGGTCGTTCCATTGATGAGAGCGGGAAGTGAATCTCCAGACATTGCCAGATGACCTATCAGTCACCATCATGACACAGGCTTGCTTGTTTTCTTTGACCAAACGTAGGACAAGGGCATTTGATGGATGTTAGGTATGCTTCGGTGTGTCAAGTATTTTAGTCTGATGGTGGACACATCTGATTGTAATCAGTGGTGCCCCGAGGGCTGGTGTGGAGGGTTCTCCCGTGCTTCGCGGGCGCCCTCCCGCGTCCACAGCTCCTCGATACATCTACTCTTCGATGCGGCTCAACGAGAGCTTGTCATTCAATCAATATGAGCACCGTTATTATGTTCGTGCTTCTTATTGATTGAATCATGCTTCTGTGGGCGACAGCGGGACATACGAACCCCCAGTTGGCTTTTCGTAGCGGTGGATTCCCTTTTCCAGTCGAGCCCGTCCTCCCGAAACTCGTGAGTTGCCCATTTGGGGCGCCTAAACGCGATGTCCTCGTCAACCGCCCGACCTCCCACTGACTGCGCAACAAGACAAGGCGTGCAGAGTACTGTAATGCGCAAAAATACAGCGCTACGTATACATGGTCTTCTCGTCACTCACGGATTCTGTTGATTGGATTGGACCTGCACCTTATCCTATTATTTGTCCTCCGTATAGCTCCTGTTGTGAGGGCTGCTACATCCAAATGTAGTTGTTGAAGATCAAGGAATCACCCATGTGGCGACACTGCGTATTCCAGCAGGGAGATGGCTGATAATCTGGATCACGGGCGCCTGTGGGCGGCTCCGCGGGAGAGAGACTGTCTCCTCGGATCTGCACCGCCACTGGCTCAGCACGATCAACGCGATTTAGGCAACCGTCCGATAAGGAAGGTCATCTCAGTCTTTCTGTTCGTCTCACGCAGCTTAGAAATGTAGTCTTTTCTCCTTGGAGCAGCTCGCTTCAATAATCATATCACTCATAAGACAAGACCCCTAAGGATCTGGTCGAGGGCCACCCCCGGGAAAAGTTCATCATCATTCATTGCGCCACACGGAATCACTGCAGACAGCGAAGCGGTACTCCAGCCCTCTTCTCATGGTCTTCAGACGCTTCGACGGCACGGGCGTGTGCTGAGGCTACTGTGAAGAAGTCTGCTCTCTGTCATGTACTTAGCGCCCGGAAAGTCTCTAGATGCACCGCGGGACCCACAATGCAGGGAAGAGAATATAAGGACCGCATCTACCTTGTATTCGTTGTGAGCGACCTGTACTCCTTCACAAAATGCAATCCCCCGACTTCACTCACTTTAATCCTCTTTCGGCTGCAGGCTGGTGCGGAAAGATTACCAAACAAGGCGACGGACGACCTCATACGCCACATCCCTGCTATGCTAGTCGTGGCGGCGGACCACCCCCGTCGGCATACGGCGCCCTTCCGCTTCCCGGATTCCAGCCAATGTCAACTTCATCGGCCGGAACACTCACGTTCCGCTTCGTCCCCTCTCCTAATAATCACGTTCGATTTATCAACTGCAATATAATAGGACCTAATAATCGAGTCCTGTATACCATCACCTCCAATGACCCCCATGTAACCATCATGCGGGATTGCCAGAAGGACGTCGCCATTATTGAATGGAGGTCACCGTTCACCATGATAGAGATTCGAGGCGGCAAGAAGATGCGCAAGGAAGATTTCCTCAGGCAGATTGTCGGGAAGACGTGAGTCTCACAAATCATCATCCAGACACGGGATCTAACATACCCTAGATCGGCACAATGCATGTATTGGCACAACATACCCTACTACTGGACCGCCGACGACGCCCACTTTTATGTGAGTTGCTCCATGTCCCGTGTGGCGCACATACTAATGCACTGCAGCTTTATTCAGAAAATATATCTTCCCTTCCGCTAGCCATCGTGCGAGCATCGGACCCTTTGTTTGAGATGGAAGTCTCCCCTGAAGCCGTTCAGACGGGTGTTCTGGAGCCTGCCCTCGTCGCTCTCATCGTGATGCAGTGGAGCCGCGGCGTCATGTGGCATTAACACTGATGTAGGAGATGCTCGCGGGCGAGACGGGGAAGTTGCATCCTAGTTCTACGGCAGAGCACGTAATATTATATATGTAATCCCAAGTAATATGGCACATTCACTCCTCTGATGGAATTTCTGTACGCTGACTTTCGAAGCGGTCTCAGCACAGCAACGTCATTTAGGGTTCGGGTCTGTCAGACGGATGGCTGATCGGCATTTCCTACAGCACAGTTGACTTCGCGGGAGAACACATCACGGCATACCATCATTCTGACCAGCGGGCGAACTCTAACCAACGGTTACTGATATCTCAACGATGAGGGACGAACGACGAAGCGCACAGGGACCCTAGCTTTATATTTCCGGGCCGAAAAAAAGTCAAATCAATCGAGATTATACATAGACAAGCGGTGGACTTCAGCAGCGCCGTTCTCAATGCATGCAAACTCAGACATGTGAGTCCAACCAGGATGGGACGTCGTTGCGCTAACGACTTCACGCCCGCAGTCCTATGTCTTCCAGCGAGATATGATAGCGAAGATGGAGCGGCGGATGCTCCATCCGTAGTCCCGGGATTGCGCTGGGGTTGGGCATCTCTGTCGTGTGCAATCTCTTCTCCAGCGCAAGACTTGTCCTCGAGGGAAGCCATGGAGCCTGTGAGCCCGAATTTAGCCTCATGCCAAGAATACCGAACCATTGATAACCGCCACTTACGGGGAGTTGACGCCTCCGCATCTTGACCCAGTCGACGTCCTTGAAGAAAGGATGGCGCATTACTTCTTCCGCTCCATTTGTCCCTAGCCTCTTGCTAGGGTCTTTCTCGAGAAGACGCGCAATCAGATCCCGGGCGTCCGGGTCAACTTTCAGATCGCGGGGAAACTTGTAGTCGCTGTTGCAGACCCGCGCTCCAATCTCGTCTTCGTCCTTGCCCCCATAGGCCTGTCCGGGATTGGTTATGAGCACGTCACGTCATAAGTGTGGTACGACTCACGTATTCGAGAGCCAGGAGTTCATATAATGTGCATCCTGCCGCCCACCAATCAAGAGCACGGTTATGCTTCCCCCGTGGGTTGAAGGCCTCCGGGGGTTTATACTGCGGAGTCCCCATTCCATCCCATCCATCATCGTCCGTTTCCCTCTTGGCGAAGCCGAGATCGATCAGGCACAAATACCCGTCCTCGCCGACAAGGATATTGTCGGGCTTCACGTCCCGGTGCACGTACCCGTGTTCGTGGATGTGGTTGAACGCGAGAACGAGGTTGGCGATGTAGAACCTCGCGGTCTCGGTGTCGAACGGAGCATCATCATATAGACGATCGCGGAGAGTTCCTCCTCGGATGAGCTCAAGCGTTAGGTACAGGTTCTTCTCGTCTTCCTCCGCGGCGATGAGCCCGCACACGAACGGGTTCCAGGGAAGGTCGCACATAGTGGACCTTTCGATGTGTTTGGTGGCTGGGTCTTCGCCAATCTGCAGAAACGTCAGCATGACGCCACATTCCAGCCTGCAATACGAAATGCTCACCAGCTCTTGCTGCCACATCATCGCCTTGGTGACGTACTTGGTCGCGAACATCGTTCCGGGCATATCTAGGGGATGCGCCGGCTCCCTGTCCAGGCGCGTAAGCAGCGCGGCGCCCCAGCCTCCAGATCCTGTTCGAAATCAATGAGTAAGAAACGCCTGTGGCTAACCGACGTTCTTGAACGTACCAAGCGCTCGAACGCAGGTCAGATCCTTCAGCTCGATGGGCGGGGGTCTGTAGGATAATTCAGGGCTGGGCGAACGGAACAGGGAGTCGGGGGTCACAGCAGGCGTAGACGGAGGCGGCGTGTTTACGCCCCTGACGCCCCGCCGGGATCGGGGAGGAGATCGAGAGATGCGTCTGGTAGAAGGAGCGTTCTCATTCCGAGCCTGCATTTGACGTGCATTTTCAAGAAGGGCATCTCCGACGCTGTCGGGCGAAGGCGGCTGGTATTGTGGCTGGCAGGAACCCGCCCGTGATGGTGAGGATGGGGTGCCACGCAGGGATCTGGGCGGCGAACAAGTCAATAGACAGGAAGCAGGTACACTCTGCTCGGCTTCCGAATGATCCCCGTTCCCAGCCCGAGCGAGGTCGACTGAGGAGAGGGACAGCGGCTGATCTTCGGCAGCAGAACAGTCCGCCCTTGACGATGAGGAGGCGGTATTCGCTCCTGTCTCTCCGCCGCTGAACCGGGAGGCAAATCTCTCAGCGAGATAACGTACACCACCGCCCGATGTAGGTGGCTGAGCGTACCGATGGGCTGGAGTGTGTATACGGGCACCCAGGTTTGATGGGCCCGCTTCGGTGAGGTCAGGGTCCTAAGCCAGCTACATTCATAGAGCGCCCCTTCGCAGATGCTTGACCAACTTACCTCTTCTGAGCGAGCGCGTTTGGCAGGCCGACCGTGAGGTGCCACGGTCGTGTCCCGCGGTCGCCGTCCGAGGGCAGAACTACTTGCGTGTGGTATCTCGTACTCCTATGAGTAGGACTTGAGATGTTTGGAACACACATGAGTCAATGCGACCACTGACCTGCGGCTCTAGGTGGATACGTTTAGTCTGCCGTTCATGTGGCTCGCGGCTACCCCGCCGCTTCCGTGCACGTTGGACGGGATTCACCGCGAGCAACGACTGGAATCCCTTTCAAGGGGCATTAATAAAATCATGAAGCGCTGTTAGGATCAGATTGACGCGTCTACACACCTGTTGTACTGGCGTAGAAGAGCGATTTGCTGGTCGAAGCCCGTGTGGCATAGCTCGAGGACTGAAAGTATGCCGCCGTGGAGGCTCCACAGCGGTAGCGTTCCTCTCCGAAGAGGGTGTATCGTTCTTGAAAAGCAGATTATAGATATTTCCGAACATGATAGGATGATGAAGATGGATGTGTTCGTGAACGAACCTGGTGTGGTTGCGTCCTGAGCCTCAGGCGCGACGCGGTGCCACCTTCCACATTAGGAAGGCTGGCCCGAGATGGTAACTGTGGCGTGCGGGGTCGGATGGCAAACATTGTTTCCGTTGCTGTCTTGTGGGAGTTGAGTAGGAAGTGGGAGGGCGCGCAGGAATGGGTAATGGGCTAGGAAGGGGGTGCTTTGGCCGGGTGCCTTCGCTTGCTCCGCCTTAAAGCTTTGTACCCGCATGCGCCACTCGCGCTTTGGCCGGGAACAAACATCTATATACGCGCTTTGTCCTGCACGGAGGCAAAGGAACGCTTGGACTCGGGGTATATGCTGGGACAATGCCAGACGATGGTGAGATCATCGTGCACGACAGCCTTTGTCCCAATAGACCTGAGAGAGGTGGATTCAGTTCTAGGTGCTTACCGGCCTACTCGTGGGTGGTCTTCATGTCGCAGATATTCTGGTGTCTTCTGATCTGAGAAAGGAGCTGAGTGGAGAACTTATACATGGATGCATTTGCGATAGAGAACGAAAACTTCACTTTAGCCATTTGCTCGAAAGTTGCAGGTGATGACTGCAAGCTTATCCCGCTCTAGTCTCACAGAGATCTTTTGGAGACCCGGCCCAGAGACGGAGAGACGGACGGGCTGCGCATAAGCATGTAACAGCGAGAGACGAAGGTGTTTAGTAGCCGTGCACTGACTGCAGATATGATTCCTAATGCTGTAGCTCTATTGTCCAGTGCTCGCAGCAGGACACAAGTAAACGCCAGAGCCAGTCCGGACAAAAAGAGCGAATCACCAAGGCGCCGGAGCCAGTCCGGACGTCCAGCCAGTCATCCCGGACACCAGAGGCCAAGGCGCCCTGGTCCGGCTGCACCTGCAGATATACATAATATTTACCATTATAAGACAGGCCATTGCCATACACAATGCATGGAGAGGTTCACAGTCTCAGGACATAGAGCCAAAAGAAAGTCCGGACATGACAAGATCGAGTGCTGCACTGGCACGTGGAGAGGAACAGGACCCCTGAAAATACCGATAGATGCCGGTGCCAGTCCGGACAAAAATCGCGGTCTCGAGCCCTCCATGCCAGACGCCTTCCGGACAAGGATGGACGACCGAACCGGCCATCCCGATTTTACAGTCCGGACACCGGTCATGACCGAGCTACCATGCCGGTTACAGTCCGGACACGGCTGTGTGGCAAGTTGGCAACGGACTGGCCCAATGTATTTACCCTTTGTAGTACATGTATTTTAACCCAATTATGGCTGAGGTTTGTCCCAACCTGTCATTGTGTACCGTCGCGTAGCCTCGTGTAGCCCTTATTTGCACTGTGATATATAGTTTCTAGTATGTAGCGCAATGGGCTCCGATGTCCAGTGGCTGAATGTGGCTGAGATCAGGACGCTGTATCGTCAAAGTTTCGCTACACCATCACCACTTTACATGGCTCTGGAAGCATGGACGACGCCCACAATACTTAACGTGTGCGCTTCGAGCTCGTTCATATGGGGTACAGCAGTCTCAGCGGGATTCACATTAGGGCATGGCAGACATTGACCTCACGGAAGAGGTGGACATCTCATTCAATCCCAAGGATTGGATTGGGATAAAGGCAAAATGAATGCCGCACTCCAGGGTCTGGACTCGGATGGGGAGGAGGATGGTTGATGGGAGTGGGCGGCCTTTGTGAATTCTGTCGCTTCATTGACTGCATTCTAGTACGATTACTGATACATTGTACAGTGTTCTAATGAGTTGATAGGCGAGAAAACCTTTTTTTCTGTTTTTTCAGACGCCGGTGCATTAGTCCGGACAAAAATCGGCCCCTTAGGGAGGCCGGTATTTTATCCGGACAAAAATGCGGGGGGGAGCCTCAGACAATCCAGACATGGAAATCTTGAGTCTCGCACCGGCATTTATCAGTATTTTCAGGGGTCCTAGAGGAACGCTTCCCCGCATCGACGGGTTACTGAGCTCGCATTGCGCCATCGATTCGGACGCTTTCACTGTCGTTTGCCATGTTTGCCTTGACTTGCTGCAGAACGCGTCTTCCGCAGGCCAGCAGCCGCAGTTAACGTCGAGGAGGACAACGCAGGGCTAATATTGACCGATGGGGTCGGCTTATCTTATCAGGGCCCGCAGCGATGACTAACACGGCACCATACATACCACTACTTACAGCTAAATATCCCGTCGGCTCTCCTGCGCCATCTTTCCCTGCTCCCTCCACCTTGCCAGCCCTCGCCGCCGCCATGAGCCTCGAAAAGCAGCCCAACGCCGTCGACCTCTCGCGCCATTTGTCTGACATGGCCAAGGCGCGGCAGACGTCGCCTTTGAAGGGCCTGGCAAAGTACATGGGGCGCCCGAACATGATTGCGCTGGCTGGAGGTACGTCTCCACGTCTTGCTCAGTCTCGACGCAGTCTTGCATCGCGCAATAGGCATGCCAAACCCGGGATACTTCCCTTTCTCTACCATCTCCGCGGACGTACTTGTCCCAGACTCTTTCCCCGTTTCCTCCTCCTCCCAGTCCTCGTCCTTGTCCTGGCTCTGGAAGATATTCGGCGCCGGCTCCAAGGAGAAGACCACGTCCGTCAGCATCCCCAAGTATGTCAAGAATCCGCGCGACGACGTCAACCTCGCTACCGCCCTACAATACGGTACTGCCACCGGCTTGGTCCCGCTCCAGAAGTTCCTGCATGAATTTGTCTCCAAGGTGTACCAGCCTGCATACGCCGATTTTGAGACGCTTGTTCAGACCGGAAACACGGACGGGTGAGGCATCCCATCTCCATGGACCTGAGGCGACAACTCAGATCCTTGCAATATAGCTGGAACCGCGCTGCTCTGACACTCTGCAACCCCGGGGAAGTCTTCCTCACCGAGGAATGGACCTATCCGTCCGCGTTGTCTTCCGTAGCGCCTCTTGGGATAACCGCTCACCCCGTCCCAATGGACAAGGAAGGCATGCGAAGTGACTCCCTGCGTCAGATCCTCGAAGAGTGGGATGAAGCCGCTACAGGGAAGAAGAGGTGTGTTCCTTTATTTACAGCCGGATACTCTTCTCATTACTAGCAGGCCTCATGTCATGTACACCGTACCCGTGGGCCAGAACCCGAGCGGCGCGGTAAGTCATTGTAATCAACGCCCTCGGCTTTCCTGACATCATGTTATTTAGACGATGGGGTACCGACGGAAGAAGGAGATCTACGACATTTGCGTCGAGTTCGGTAAGCATAGCCTTGCGTAGTTGCAAGCGAGCATACCAACTCAACTCCCCGATAAGATATCATAATTGTCGAGGACGATCCCTACTACTTCCTTCAGGAAGGAGTGTACCAGCCAAAATCAGCCCGTACCAGGAAGGACTCGCCTGACGACGATATCTCGCACTACATCGCGGGTCTAGTCCCTAGCTACCTGAAGTACATTCGACGACTCGATTTTCGATTGCATTGTTTTGCTAACGTTATCACGTCTGTCAGGCTTGACTATCAAGGCCGTGTCATTCGCCTCGATACGTTCTCAAAGGTACGCGTTCTGTCAGTGACGCTGCCATCGCTCATGGGCTCATTAACGTTGTCTATAGACCATTGCTCCCGGCAGCCGTCTCGGTTGGTTCACGTGCAACGCCGTATTCGCTGAGCGGTTGGAACGAGCCGGCGAAGTGTCTACCCAGGCACCTTGCGGCTTCGGCCAGGTTCGTTCTCCTGCACGTTCAACTACACCTACATTAGACTAACCTGCCCGCAGTCCCTCATCACGAGCCTCCTTCTTAACTGGGGTTTCGAAGGCTACGTCCGCTGGCTGCGCGGCCTCGGCGCGCAGTACACTGCCCGGCGGGACTTTTTCATCGACGCCTTCGCCGAGGAATTCGACCTCGACCTGTCGACGGGCCAGAGCGGCGCGTGGCGCGGGTGCGACGTGTACCTCGCGACGGAGAAGGTCAAGCCGACGGGCGAGATGTCGGAGAAGTTCGCGCTCACGGCGCGCAGGCCGCTGTTCAGCTTCGTGCCGCCGACGTCGGGGATGTTCGTCTGGGTGCGTACCACTAGCTATGAATGGATCTGCAGGTTAACAAACCGTGCGATTAATTATGTAGTTGAAAGTGCACTTTGAGAACCACCCGAAGTTCAGGAAGGGCGACGACAGCAACGAGATGAAGCTCTGGATCGCGCTCGCGGAGTCGGGCCTGCTCATCGCGCCCGGCTGGTTCTTCGCCGCCGACCAGGAGGACTCGCCGGACGGGCCCGACGACGGCCACTACCGCATCGCTTTTAGTTTTAACGATGTACGTGTTTGCCTGCTGTCTGGATCCCTCGCTGACGGACTGCTTTTCCTTACAGTTCGACGACATGAAAAAGGCGGTACAGATTTTTGGCCGGGTTGTCAGGGAGCACTTCAAGGACAACTGATGGTAGATGGTTTATTGGGTGATATGTATCATAGGTATTAGACGCGCTGTATTCGAGGGGTATGTCTGCAGCATGGATGCCACTTTGGTCGACCAGGTAGACCAGTTTTTATGAGGCCGCCTGGCGAAATGGCATCGCGTCTGACTACGATCTGCGTGTTGTTTATCAGGAGATTGCAGGTTCGAGCCCTGCGGTGGTCATCAATTTTGTCCATTTATTTTCCTCCGGATTCATGGCATTTGGAGAGTGCGATTGCAGGATGGCGTGCCCTTCAGGATCATTGGACGCGATGGGCCAGGAGCAAAACAAAATGCTCATAATACAGTTTTTTTCCATAATCCAATGCTACAGTGTTTGTCTTATACTGATGCTTCTACCGTAGTGTTTTAAGCAGCACCACTGACAGAGAGATTGGCGACGCCATCGGCAGCCTCCTCGACGGAACCTTCAATCAATTTGGTGACCTTCCCAATTGCGACTGTCTTCCCTATATAAGATATCCAGCGGCGGTCAATATACACGCCATACATACGTGGGCAGTCGCTTACCCTCGTCTCGTAACGTGAAACGACCCAACTGGGGGTAGTCAACGAATCGCTCTATGCATACAGGCTGGGCAGTCTCTATAAGCGCGACGATCTTCTGTCCACGCTTGGCGAATTGAGGTGGTTTCTTTGACTTGCGACCAGTTGCCTTGTCAAAGTAGTGCAATAGTGCCTGGTAGAACAACAATAAGACGATTGTCTAGCACGGTGGGCAGACAGCTCACCGTCAGTGTCACCTCCTCCGCCAACGTATGACAATGCATGACAGCGGAGTAGCCGGCACAGATGATATTCTTGTGATCGAGAATAGCAAGCTGCGCCTCGAACTGCCGAACGGCGTGGACAGGCTTGGACGGGCTGGTGAGCACGAACCCGGGGGAGATATCCTCGTCGTCGACGCCGCGCAAGCGGATGCGCACGTTGTCGCCGCACAGCGCGCGGTCCACTTCCTCCTCCATCTCGTTGTAGATGCCCGCAACCTCGACAACGACCTTGTTCGGATAGAGCGAGAGCGTGTCGCCCTTGCGCAGGTGCCCGGACTCGATCTTGCCGACGACGATCGTGCCCATGTCCTTGTACTTTTCGGAGATGGGCATCATGAGCGGCGCGTTGACTTTGCGGTCGACCATGGGCATTTTGTCGAGGTATTCGAGGAAGGATGGACCGCTGAAAGCATGGGCAATCAGAGTCTGAACAGTGCAATAACGCCGGCTTATACTCACCTCCACCAGTTGCAGACAGAAGGTGATACTCGGTCCTTGACGTTCGCACCCGTGTACGCAGATATGGGCAGGAATGTGACATCTGTCTTTGGGTTGAAACCGGCCGCCTTGACAAAGGGCGTGAGCTTGTCCTTGATTTCGTTGAAGCGGGACTGCTGCCATTCGACCGTGGAGTCGTCCATCTTGTTGATGACGATGACGACCTTGGACACCCCGGCAGTCTTGACCAACATGATGTGCTCGCGCGTCTGCCCGCCCTTTTCGAAGCCGGTCTCGAACTCGCCCTTGCGCGCGGAGATGACCAGGATGGCGACGTCCGCCTGGGCTGCGCCGGAGATCATGGAGGGGACGAAGGTCTTGTGCCCCGGCGCGTCAAGGATGGTGTATCGCCGCGAGGCGGTCTCGAAGTACGCACGGCCGACTTCCTGGGTCTTGCCCTTTGCGCGCTCTTGCGGGGTGGAGTCGAGGGCCCAGCTGAGGTACCAGGACTCACGGCCGGCTTCTTTGGCTTCGCGTTCGTATTTTTCCATGGTACGCTTGTCGACCATGCCGGAGAGGTAGAGGATGTTCCCGCCGAGCGTGCTCTTGCCCGCGTCGACGTGACCGATGAATACGATATTGAGGTGCTCTTTGACTGTGCAGGGGGTGAGATGATAGGCCGATGAATGGTCAAGCTAATCAACGCACCATCTCCGAACAGGTCCTTCAGCACTTCGTGGTCAGCGGCAGCCTGGACTTCCTGCGCGACGGCGTTGGTGTCGGTTTTGGCTCTCTCGGTGGTGAATGTTCTGGAAGAGGATGGGGCTGCGCTAGACGAGGACGCAGCTGGCGCAGCAGAGGTGGGTGCTGGCTTCGGGGCTGCAGGCTGGGATGCGGGGGCGGATGGAGGAGGGGCATGGGTGGGCGTGGCGGCGCCAGAGGGAGGCTTGGAGCCGCCGATGTTGAGCGAGATGGTCGGGGCGGGGGCGTCGGAGGGCGGGGGCTGCTCGGGGGCGGCGGGCTTGGATGCGCCGATATTGAGGGAGATGGTCGGCGGCGGCGGCGGCGCCTCGGTCTGCGCGGGGCGTTCGAGGGGCGCCGGGGGCGGCTGGTGGCCGGGAGCGCGGAAGCCCTTGCCGGGGACGAACTCGAACGCGTTGACGTTGAGCTTGCTCATGGCGGGATCGATGCAGGCGAGTATAATAATACAAGTCGAGCAGCCCTCGAGCGAATCTGAATCAGTCCAATCGCCCGCCTGCAATCGGACCCGCTGCTGTAATTTGTGCCTTGCCGCTTTCGGACAACTATGTAATGGATCTCCCACGCAGAAGCTGCCACGCAGCGACCCGACCCCGGGAACGCTCCGGCTCGCTGCCCTGCCCTGCCCTGTCCATGCCATCATACCCACAACCGCCCGCCCCCACTGTCGCCGACAGCCGCGCCCATGTCTGAGCCAGAGTCCTACCTCGCCGTCCTCAGGGCCTCCTACGACTACGAGCCCCAGGCCGAAGACGAAATAGAGATCAAGGAGAACCAGCTCCTCTTTCTCCTGGACAAGACTGATAATGAGCATGTCCCGATCGTCGTGTCACCCTGCCGGCTTGCTGACCGCGTCGATGTAGATGGTGGAAGGTCAAGTGCAAGACCGACAATCCTGACGACGAAGGCCCGGCCGGTCTGGTCCCCGCTGCGTACGTCGAGGAGGTCCGTACGTCCCACGAGATACCCGGTATCAGTACTGACGTTGCACCACGCAGGCCGAACATGTCGCAACCGTCAAAGCCCTCTACGACTATGAAGCAACGTCGGCCGGTGAGCTGACCGTCAAGGAGGACGAAGTGCTGCTTGTGTTTGCGAAGGAGGAGGACTGGTGGCTGGTGCAGAGAAAGAGCGGCGAGGGCGGCGCGGGATACGTTCCAGCTACATATGTCGAGGAGGTGCGTAGTATGTTCCAACCCTGGTTTCCCGACCGAACCCCCCTCTAGACTACAGATGACGCCGCCGCTGCTTCTCCTCCCGCCGTCCCCTCGATAGCCAACATCGTTGTACCTCCCATGGTATGTCCTATATGACCATTCCATCGCCAAGCACAATCTCCTCATCGCCTCCATAGCCTCCCCGTCCCACCAGCACCTACGTAGACCCCGCTGATCGCGTAGCCGCGTCAAAGGCAACCGCGGATGACATCCAGACCTGGTCCGTCTCAGAGGTCGACAAGAAAGGCAAGAAGAAGAAGGGCACACTCGGCGTCGGTAACGGCGCCGTCTTCTTCGCCAGTGAGTCTGACAAGGTCAGCCTTACTTCTCATTCTCTGGCGATCTCTCCTCTCGCTGACATTCATGCACACGACAGACCCCTGTACAGAAATGGCAGACCGCCGCAATCTCCTCCTCCAAGATCGACAAGAGCAAGCACATCCTCATCGAGATCTCCGACCCGCCCACGTCCCTCCACTTCCACGCGCACTCCAAAGACGTGGCCGAGGCGATCGTCGCGAAACTCGAGTCCTCCAAGGCCATATCCGCTCCTGCTGCTCCTCCGAGCCCTCCTGCCCCCGCCGAGCGCGTCAGCCCGAAGGTGCACTTTGCCGAGGAGGAGCCGGAGGTTATTCCCCCGCGCGAGCCCAGCGAGGACGGATACGAAGAACCGGCGCAGCACGAGGAGCCAGAAGAGGTGGTGGAGGTGGAGGAACCTGCGACGGCTGCGACGCCAGAAGTGGATGGAGAGGGAGAGATTGCGGTGGCTTTGTATGACTTTACGGCTGACGGCGAGGATGAGCTGTCGGTTGCTGAGGGGGAGCAGCTGGTCGTGCTGGAGAAGGACGGGGACGAGTGGTGGAAGTGCAGAAACGCTCACGGAGGCGAGGGAGTTGTGCCTGCGCAGTACCTCGAGGTGAGTTCCTGCATCAATGCCGATTTTTGCTGTGTGGATGCTTGAGATTGACCTCCGTGCCCAGCTCAAAGGTGGAACTGCTGTGGCTGCCCCTGCTGAAGAAGACGATACCGCTGCAGAGGAAGCCGCGGCGGCCCAAGCGGAGGCTGAACGCCTCGAGCAGGAGCGTATTGAGCGCGAAAGGGCAGAGAAGGCGGCTCTGGAACGCGAAGCTAAACAGCGCGCGCAGGCTGCCGCCGCCGCTGCCGACGCTGAGCGTAAGCGGAAGGAGAAGGAGAAGGAGAAGGAGCGTGAGCGCAAGGAACGAGAGGCGGAGGAGGAGAGGAAGAAAGTTGCAGCAGAACAGGAGCGCGCTCGGAGATCACAGGAGGTTGAGCAGCGGCGAACGTCGTATGTCCTCACTCTTCGGTTGTACAACTGTTGATTGACCCTGGTTCAGTTCCGAGTCTCCCGCGAGGACGAAATCAGCGCAAAGGGATTCCGCTGCGGGTCGGTCATCGACCGAGAAGCGTAAGTAACGATACTTCATACATATTGGGTATCTGACGACATTTTGGTCGATCTATTCAGGCGGACCACCTCCAGAGAAGTGTCGTATCTGGCACGACCGCTCAGGGCAATTCAGTGTCGAGGCTGCTCTGCTGGCCTACCAGAACGGCAAGCTCCGTCTACACAAGACGAACGGCGTCATAATCGAAGTGCCCTCAGAGAAAATGTCTGCGGAGGATATGAAGTATGTCGAAAAGTTGATGGGCAAGAAATCAGGTTCACGACAGTCGTCCACGCCTCTGTCAGAGGATGACGAGCCCCTCGCTGTACGGCGGCAATCACTGCAGCCGCCTGCCACTCCGCAGAGGAACCCGCCGCCCAAGAAGGGCCCGACCATCGACTGGTTCGAGTTCTTCCTGAATGCGGGGTGCGATGTCGACGACTGCACGCGCTACGCGCTCTCGTTCGAGCGGGATAAGATTGATGAGGCGATTCTGCCGGATATCACTGAATCCACGCTGCGCACGCTCGGCATGCGCGAGGGCGACATCATCCGGGTGAAGAAAGCGATCGCACAGAGACAACCGAAGCCGGCACAGTCGAACGATGCGGCTATGCAAGATCAGCTGCGCAAGGATGAGGAGCTGGCACGGGCTCTTCAGGCAGAAGAGACCGGTGGGAGCCGTAAATCATCCAGCCCTGCTCCCAACTTGTTTGCCTCTGGACCTAATGGTGCGCTTAAGAACGTCCGCCGCGGGCGCCCGCAGCCCAGCAAGAGCCTGCCTCCATCGTCTGTGGATCTTAATGCCATATCTTCAGCATCTGATCAGATCCAGAGGACGGGCACCCCTGGGTCGTCGTCGTCGACTCCTTTGCAGCCTCCAGCGCGGTCCAGCTCTGCAGCCCCAGTAGTGTCAGGATTTGATGATGATGCGTGGACTAACCGCCCCAGTTCTACTAAGCCGGTCGCGACCGCTACTCCTGCTTCACCTCCTGCACCCCCGGCCCCGCCAGCGCCACCAGCAAGTGATCCAGTACCCGTTCGTGCGCCGTCTGCTCCAGTCACCAATAACGCCCAGTCCCAGAATACCGGAGGTAGTGGAAGCAATCTCGCGAAGACGACGGAGAGCGACATATTTGAACAACTGTCTCGACTGGCAGAACTCCGCACCAAGAGCCCTCCATCGTCTTACGCATCCACTCCAGTTGGAAACAATTCGATGCTCGGTTCACCAGCGCCAGGCATCACTCCGTCTGCCAGTTATCAGTCTGGACTAGGTATGCGGTCCTCGCCTGCACCTATGGGCCAGCACCTTCAGAGTCAGCAGACCGGAATCCTTCCTCCACCCCAGCAGCAGAATGGTCCCCGTGGGCCTTTTGCACCTGTTCCCGCCAATCAAGCATTATTGCAGCCGCTCATTCCTACGCAGACAGGAGCTACTGGCTTCGTCCCAACTCGGCCAGCAAGCGCCACGAGCCCCTTCCAACCTCAACCACAACAACCATCTTTCCTTAATACTCAGCCAACTGGCTTCCCCGGTCCATCTCCAGTATTGTCGCAACCGACAGGCTTCCCTAACCAGGCACCTATGATGTCTCAGCCGACGGGCTTCCTTACTCAAGGCCCTTTGTTCTCGCAGCCTACCGGATTCTCAGGGTCCTTCGGCCAGGCCCCCACATTCCAGAACAAGAGCGGCTTTGGCATGCCGCAGTCAGGTAAATAACTACCTATAGAGTCTAACGGCAAGCGACTAATGTGAAACAGCTCCCAATGGGTTCAGTGGGTTTGGGCAAGCTGCGTCCCCGCCACCGGCGCCGAATGGCGGGCTGGCTGTTAAAGATACGTCCCCCGCCAATATTTTCGCGCAGATGAAGTCAGGCACGTTTGCTTCTGGCAACGATGCCGGGAATCCGCAGCCAGCAGGTGCGTCGTTTTCGTTCATGCTTTAGCCGGCCTCTCACGAGGTGTGGGATATTAGATAAATATGACGCTCTGCGTCCCGCACCCCCATTGACTATGCAACCTACAGGTTGGGGCTTCCAGACAAACGGCTTCCAAGGGTATACCGGATACCAGCGTTGACCGTGGACCATTCACGTTACGCCCTTTTAATCGCGGCTCTTTCTTGTATCTATCGAGAAGCACTATTATCCCTGGAATTACGATTATAATACATGATCACAACATAGTCCGATGCTCATACATAGAATGAGAGGTTATGTCCGTTCGATGATCCTCTGCGCATAACCAACGCGCATGTAGTAGTCTTTGAGACCCTCCCGAATCTCGTCCGGAAGTCCTCGACTCAGAAGTTCCGTCGCCAATGGATACACGGCGGGCATGTATCTCAAGAACTGAACAAATTCAGATGATCAGGAGTGCCGCAAGCTGAAGGCAATATCCACTTACAGCTTTATCGTCAAACCGACAAAAGCCTTGTAGTATTTCTGCGACCACCGGGGTCCAGGCAGCAATGTTCTTAGCCTGGGTGTCCAAGCGCAGACGGTTATAGTCTTGTAGCACCCCGAGCTCAAGTCTGAATTACAAATTAGCAGATGCCAAAAAAATTCTGAGGTCCACCTACGGTAGTAAGCGCTCTGCGATCTGAGGTCGGGCGGCCTGGTGCTCAGGTCTGGGATCATAGTACATGCGCAAGAGGACGTGCACGAGGGTTGAAGCGCTGCTTGACTCTTGCTTTAACAAGTTCGGTAGATGTTTCATGAAACCTAGTGTACAAAACTGTCGCCACGGGACAGCATCGGCAGGCAAAGCCAATACTACGTACCAACTTTCCAAAGAGCCATGCGCAGGTCCTTATCCTCATTGAAAGACCGGGCAAACTGATAGCTGTGATCGAGCACGCCCATCATTCGCAGGAGGTGCTCCGGAGGTATGGTGGAATAAACCAGATCATTTCGTAGAAGATCGTTTAGTGTCTCGATCAGTAGCAGTTGAAGGACACATTTGACAATGATCTGCTTGAAGATCCTGCGGCGCTCGCTTAGTGAGAGTTGTGCGTCTGGTTTGATCTGATCCATAGTGGCACTAGGCGACAACGGCGCCGGCAGCATAGTCTGGCCCCCTGTTTAGACCAGTTCTTAGATACGGTGGCGCTCGATAGGAGATACGAAATACCATTGGTATCCGCGAAATCGGACGGACTGCCCTCGATATCCACCCGGAGGCTCTCGTCAAAGAGCTGATGAGGAGTAGTCGTCCGGAACAGTTTTACGAACGTCGCCGTGATACGATCCCACCTCGCAGGACTCATCTTCTTCACATTGTGTTCCAGTAATTGCTGTAGACAAGAAGTCCCGATTCGGGCCAAAGTGTCGTTCTCTAGTCAAAGCATCAGTGGGCGAGTTCCGGGGAGAAGGGTATCGCGAACCTTGGCATATGCAAACGCATAGCAACTCCAGTAGTCCATCCATGAAACGCTCCAGAATATCAAACAAGTATGTATACAAGTCAATGAGATCACGGAGGGCTTGAATCATAGTGCTCTGGAGCCAGACGCTCATGTCCTCCTGCGAGTTGAAACGAGATAGGTCTTGACTGGATTTCAGAACTGCGAAAATCGGGAAGAGCAGTTCTTGGCAAACGGTATCCCAAAAGTCGATAGGGTAGTCGGGACCATAGGTCTTCAAAGTGGTGAACAAAGAGTCGAGCGCACTGCCGATGCATGTGCATGAGTCAGGGGACCTGCGACATGCGAAGGAGAGAATACGTACAGTCGGCGTACTTCAAGATCCTCAGCATTCATGATAATATCATAGAAGCCGAAAAGGACTGGGAACCAGAACCTGATCATAGGATCGTCCGCGGGGTTTTGAGGGTCCGAGGAACACTCTGGGCACTCCAACATAACCGGAATAACTCCCCGAAGCATCCCGATAGCCAGGAGACTTATTTTCTGGTATTTGCTCACTTTGCAGAAATCGGTGATGCAAACGGTCAGGTCAGCGAATGCTCCGTGACGGGCAATGGCAGAGAAATGGTCTCGATTGACGCGCGTTACGATTTCGAAAGCAGAGCTGACGATCCTCTCTAGATCTTTGATAAGCATGTAATAAGGGATGGTCAGATTTCTGGCACGGACCTGTTAGGACTTTCGATGCAGCGGACAATACGCCGAAAAGGGTCCTCCAACCGGAACGCAAATTATGGACTCGTGCTTGTATCATTTGTGAGAGGCATTGCAGGACCTACTCACGCTGACTTAGGGAAAGCTGTACAAGGAGGCGATAGATCGGCTTACCATATCTCGGACATCAGGATTTGCGTTGTGAACCATCGTGTATTCGAAGGGCTTTAGGAAGTCCTTCTGGAAAGTGAAGTGAGGGAGTTCTTCTTTCTCCAGGAAGCGCATGGCGAGTTGACGGAGCGAATCCAATGCGAAGAAACCGACGTTTGGGTTGCTGTGACAACATACCTGTACTGACTGTAAACACTTTTCAAATGCAGACTTCACCGTGCTCACCTGGTTGAAATGCTGGCCAAGGATATCCCACAAACTCAGCCATTCCAACCTCATCCGGTTCATGTTGTAATACGAGATCTCGACCAGTTTCTGAAGGCTAAAGAGACGTGGCCGCGGCGACAAACCAGACGACTGTATCTCATCCCACGATACATCACAAAGGGCCTGCACGAAGTCGACAATAGCAGTCTGAGAATACGATCAGTGAGTGACTAACACTCTCGCGAGGTAGTACGCACTCCGTTGAGATAATGACTGAGGGAAAAAATCATGTCTGCTGCCACCGTTATATGGGTAGACCGACTTTCATTCGCCAATTCTTCGGTTGGCAGCATTCGTGGTCGCCTATTACATAGCATCAGTACCGCCGGTTTGATAGAGTATCGCTCAGAGCAACGTACCCTTTGCGTCCGCTGTCTGGCATATCGACCCCACTACTGATCAGCTGCATACGTTCCAGCTGGCTGACACACGTTAGGACCTCGTGCCACGAGGACTTGAGGTAATTGCCCTCGCTGACAGCCACATCAAGCAGAGTTTTGATAGCCTCCATATTTTTCGACTTCATCTCACCGAGATTGTTCAAAAATGTAAACTTGGCCAGCGTGGTCACAAATGCATTACGCTCCAGCTCCAGATCGAAGAAGCAGGCTATGTGTATGGCACTCTTGAAGCCATCCAAGCACAGCTCGATCACCTCCGGGTCGTCTGTATCCTGCAGAGGACCCGAGAGACCGGCAAGGAAAGGCATCCATGCAGCTTCAAACATGGGGCGAACATGTACAGCATGAGACGCGCTGAAGAACTGGTCACCCGCCTTCGATCCCTTACGCTGGGACTTAATCATGGTGCGGAACAGGGCCTAAGGCAGACTGTCATCTCTACTGGCTCGGCATGCACTCTAAAGCTACGCACCTCAGTCTTATTTGCCATGCCGCTGGATTGCATTAGGTACGCTTCCCTTTGCAGATCTCTGCCGACGTTGGCCAGCACATTGGCTAAGCCTGTTCCAGGCGTTGAGACAACAGCCTCAATCTCGTCTTTCATGCGGATCTCATTCGCTACGATGTCGTCGTATAGTGCAGACAGATACTCTTCCGGTAAATCTGCCCCGTCGTTGATACCCCTGTTATTCTTGAGGAAGTCGGCCTTGGACATTCGCGATTTCACTTGCGGGCTGTGTGCATCTGTGTTCAGCATGATAGTTGAGAACGCCAGCACGAACGCTGCGCCAGCGCTGGCAAAGGGAGTCTGGCTGTTGGTGGTAAAGTACCGCTCCGCGAATTTCTCCATGAAGCGTTCAACCTTCTGTGCCTCTCCGGGGAGCCTGAACGTTTGCAAGAAGGTGCGTAAAGCATCAACAAACCCCAGATTTCTAAATTCAAGCATATCGACAAATGCGTGCATTATGGCGATGTTCTCCTCGTTGCTAGACATATGTCAATCGTGAAACCTAAACTGGAATGCGAACGACGCACCCTTCGCCGAGATACTCCCCGATCATCGTTTTGTTAAGGCCGTCAGTATGCAGAAGGAAGCGCGCGATGTCTTGGGGGCTCCTGCTTGGGATGAAACCATTCTCAATGAAGAATTCGATGCCCTGTATGTCGCAGGCGCGTCAACAAGTGCTGGTTTTTGTTATCAGAGCCACCTACGCTCTTGGGCTTCGAGTTGAACTTTTTGATGCCTTCTAGTAGGGTCGTCTTCTTTTGCCTCGCACTTTCAAACTTACTGGGATCATCGCCAATATCTGGTGTGGATTGCCTCGGTCCCTCGGCACCAATCGATAGCCTGTCGACGGATGGATTTGATATGCCGGTGTCATTCACAGTTTCCTGATTTGCACGAGTCTGGGCACGTGCATCAGCAGCAGCGTCGACTACAGTCTCCCGTGCGGTAGTCCCCCAAGCGACGAGCGACCTCAGTACGGTAACTAGACATTCAAGTCCTTGCTTCCTGAGTTGGAAATCCGATAAACCCAAGGTCGAAATATCCATGGATCCCGGAACAGAGAGAGCCGTAGTGCTCAGAGACGGCGGTAATGCTGTACTGTGGCTGTGGCCTTTGTTCGTCGGCGTCAATGCAGGACTGCTAGGATCGGAAGCCTTAGGCTGAACTGCAGACGGAATGGTCCCGATCTTGGATATGATATTCATGAGGCTGAAAGGTAACAACGACGTTGGAGTCAGGGACTCGTGAAGCGTAAGAAAACATACTGCTCGTAAATATTGTCCGCTGCCTGACTGTCACAGTCGTAGTTCAGGTAAATTTCCACCAGAGCCTGAGGATCCTGTGCAAGGCGCTGCAACATTCCGAGAATTGCCGCCTTTTGCTTCAAGGTGGACGTCTTCATCTCCAGGATTGGGATGAAAATCTCATGCAAGAGCACCTCGATCTCTTTCTAAACATTATGAATATTGACCCTAGCGCGAGCAAGTATGGAACGCGATTCACCTTGAGTTTCGTGCGCATGCCAGAGATCACTCTCCAGAATATCTCGACGCTCAATTCGAACACCTGTGGGACCGAGCTGACAGCATTCCTACTAAGACTCAAACACAGGTACTGATTGACCGCTTGCACGAACGGCGTTGCTTCATGAGAGGAGCTAGAGTAGATGATAGACGTGGGAGCAACAAACAGAGCCATGTGTGAGTTCAATACGGTCAGTACCAAATGCAACGAGAGCAGCTTCGAGCGCATTGCATGTGATTTGAGATCCCGTTCACTATTTGACAATAAGCTAGCTTCGTAGTAGGGGATTGGATGCCTCACCTCTCAGTATTGAGCGGCTTCATGGTCAATTTACAAAGCGCCCTGAAAACCAAAAAGGCGTCTTTGATGAACAGGTCATTGAGAGTTAACTCCCTGCCGTGATTATCCCGATTCGCTTCCTGAGATGCTATTTCAGCGTGGAGAGCGTCCCTGCATCGAACATGAATGAGCTCGGACTATAGCTAATAGTATGCGGAACTGACAAGCTTGGATTAGCATCGGGTCGCAGCGGCGCACTACCATTCGCCAACCCCGCACTTGATGACCCCTCCGTGCCGTTGGCATGGTCCCCTACCGAAGCAGGGGGCGATATAGGACTGCCTGTGTCAGGGTGCTTCTCTCGCTCGGAGGTTGTTGCTTGACGGTCATCATTGACATCTCGCGCGAAGCCGAATTCTGGTGCCAATGTCGAAGTCGGAACAGGTGGTGTCTGCGGAGTGGACGCAGCAGATAAGGGTCTGCTTGGATACATCTCGCTATCATTATCTCTTGACGCCCGGCGGGAAGCACTTGCACCATACACGGGACGCGGTCCGTTGATTTTACAGCGAGAGAATACATGATGAACCATCTGTGTCAGTCCACCTTGAGCAACCATTTGATTCACGGGATCCGTGCTCAATAAGAAGACGTTGTATACTGTGCGCACTGTCTTCAGAAGTGAAGACTGGTGGACAAGGACAGTGGGAGAAAGGACTAAAGCCAGCAAAGCCTTGACTATTTGCAAAGAGACCGTTTCGGGAGTCGTTTCGGTATGACACGATGTTATCGTATGGACCACAAGGTCAACCAGAGACATTGGAGGTAGATTTGATTGAGATGCACCCGACATAGAGTTACGAGGCCCTAAACCTGGAGATGGGGGAGGGGATGGTAAGCCTTGAGCTGAGGGAGTTTCCTCCACGAAGAAGGAATACGAGATGAGTTTCGAGATACAGTCCAGACTAGTAACCATGAGCTTTTCATTCCGCGTCTCGCAAGCTAGGCGTAGAGGTTCGAATATTTCGCGAGGCCGGTCGCCTCCTTCTCCTGCACGGACCATTTCTAAAGCCCGTTTGACGCTATCTCTAAGCGGTGCAGACCGCTTCGCCTCCTTTGAAGCAGCAATAGTCTCCAAAGCCGAAGTTATCAGCACCACGGAGACCGTGTGACCTTTGGAAATCGTCAGGGACCGTTGATGTGCTTTTGAGTTGGAGGATGTCTCGCCAGATGCAGCGGTGGCGACAGATTCGGTCTTGCTATGGCCATCAGGGTGGACAGAAACCGGTGGAGATGTAGGGGGTAATGACTCTGGTGGGGCGAGGGGCACGACACGCTCTTCATGCACATGGGGATCAGACGAAACGAGTGTACTCGCGTTGTCCGTCACAGGTTCCTCGAAATGGGACACTGAGGTATTCTCCTTCGAGTCTGCTATTGTTGTGTCGTCACGGGAGTCCAAGTTCTGAAGCCATCTCCTACGCTCGACTGTAGAACCCTCATCGCCTACGGTAGACCGCTGCTCGCGGTCAGTAATATGCCCACTTCCAACCGCATCCCCACTTTCCTCTAATGGCTCTTCAACTGGAACATGAGCCTTTGCTGTTAAGGCATGCGTTGAGTCTTCCAGGGACACAGGTTCCGAGTCCCGCGTGTCCTTCGGTGAGTCGAGCGCCTCGACCGGATTATGTGGTGGCGGGCTTTCTTGGGATGGCGATGAAGGCAGGGCCACGGAAGCTGCTCGATCGACCTCGACATTGGCCATCAGAGAGACCTTTTGCCGCGTACTGGCCTGCTATAGTCGCCAGCAGGGATGACGGTGAGCGACCAGTTGGTGTGGACAGTAAAGCAGGTATTTCGCCGGAGACAGAACCGAACGCAGCAACGGCAGACCTTCGGTAAAGCCCGAGCTAAGGAACGAAACGAGTTTAAGCGAGCATTCTGAAATTTGCCGTCGCATCCTGACTCTTTATGCTCTGACTGAGTCTGCTAAGACCTTTAACTTGCTCGACCTCTCAAGCAATGACTGCCTCCACAGGCATTCCCTCGGATGCGTCTGCAGCAGTATTCAAGCCTTCGGAGCCGGTACCCGAAGGTGTACTCTCGGTACAAGGTCCCGATTTCGATAGGCAGCTGTCTCTGGAACAGCTTCTAGCGTCATATGAACGGATAGGGTTTCAGGCCAACAGTCTTGCCAAAGCGATTAACATTGTAAATGAGATGGTCGGTTCGGTCAAATTACGCTCCGCAGATGAAGCTGAGGTTGGTCTGCTCTTCAGCGTAATTGGCGCCTTTCAGACGAAGCACCTGCAGAGAACGAGTCCGACGAGTACCTTGATCCCGAGGTCCGGGCAAACACGCGCTGTGACATCTTCCTAGGATATACGTCCAACCTCATTTCTTCTGGGCTGCGCGAAGTTATTTTACACCTCGTAAAGCATAACCACGTCTCGGCGATAGTAACAACAGCGGGTGGCATAGAAGAAGACTTTATCAAATGCCTAGGCAAGACCTATGTGGCCGATTTCAACCTGGACGGCGCCGATTTACGCAGTCGAGGCATGAATCGCATAGGAAATTTGATCGTCCCCAACGACAACTATTGCAAGTTTGAAGATTGGCTCTTACCTATCCTTGACACTATGCTAGAGGAACAGAGGACTACCGGCCAAATCTGGACTCCAAGTACGTTCATCCGTCGATTAGGCAAAGAGATCGCCAACGAGGAGTCTGTATACTACTGGGCATACAAAGTGAATAGAATATCTTTACCTCTGATGCACGAAGCTGAGCAGACCCTCAGAATAATATTCCAGTCTTTTGTCCGGCATTAACTGACGGGTCGTTGGGCGACATGATATACTTCCATTCGTTCCGCAACCCGGGTCTCGTTGTGGATATCGTCGGTGATATTCGTGCCCTAAACGAACTATCCCGAAAATCTAAGAAGGCTGGGATGATAATCCTAGGAGGGGGTATCTGCAAACATCAGATAGCGAATGCCATGTTAATTGTGGGTTTCGCCAATCAGTTCCGCTGTCGCATGTCTCCCTACTCATACTGGATATGGTAGCGTAATGGAGCAGATTATTCAGTTTATATTGTAATGTGTTCAACGCCTGACAAGGCGTGTAGTACTGACGGATCACATCAGAATACGGGTCAGGAGTTCGATGGTTCCGACTCCGGTGCTCGACCCGACGAGGCTGTCTCCTGGGGAAAGATCAGAGCTGGCGCTCAGTCTGTCAAGGTCAGGTTATAGCAAATCATTTCGACAAATTCTTACTTGTGCCCTAGGTCTTCGCAGACGCTACGCTAGTGTTCCCATTACTTGTGGCGGCTACTTTCGCACAAGATGGAAAACGATAAAACAACAGCAAATTGTTCTATAATATTATCGAAGTATACATTGTTGTGCGATATACGAAGTTCTAGTCATCTTGCCAAAAGGGATAATTCTAATTAACAACCCCCTTGGAAGCAACAACCCCGGGTTGTTTGCTTACAAATCATCAACCCCCCCAGAACTGATTTACTGTAGATAATATGTTTTTGTCACTTCTGTCACTGCCCTATCAGTAGACGAGTTCCTAGTGCTGGTACCTCACATGTATTCGGCTGGTAATGTGATTGTAGATGTGCTAAAATAACTAGAATCAGTGCCAGCCACTACCAGCTGCAGCACAATTTGCTGATGCCCACAAAGGTACCGGTACAGAGGCATCGAGAAACGCTTACTGACTGGGCTGGGGCACTTTTTAAGTCCAAATATCACCAGTCTAGGTGAAAACTGCGACCCATCTGTGAGAACCACAAACCTGTATACCCGGCACCGCGGGTTGCGGTATGGCACGGTGTGGACGGTCCAAGCACCGTACCCGCACCTGAGCGACACCTGGGTTGAATACCGTGGTGGCACCCGCACCCAACCTTAGTAGCCTTGACTGGGAGAGCCTCGGCCTAATATTTTTATATGTAGCTATGTACATAGAGTGAAGTCCAAGTAAAGCAATGTAATGCAGACTGATAGAGTATGATGTTGGCACATGTGACAGCTGATGGACAACCGGGGTTGCTGGATAATGGCATGGGATACTGAGGGGTTGTTGCTCCCAGGGGGGTTGTTGATTAGAATTATCCTGCCAAAAGTGCCGTCCAATGCCAATGGAATTAAACCCGTAGTCCGAGCGTGCACATGGCAATATCGGACTTCTATGCTCATGCCTCATGTCGGCAGAGAATATACTAGAGTTGGGACCCGTGGCATTGCCACTGGAGTCCAGAATCTTGTTTTAGGTGGTCATCAGTGGGTAGAATACAGTCTAAGGCAAAGTTTTGTACGAATTTTTGGGATTATCCGGGGCTTTGTAGGCAAAGTTATGTCGGTCCTGACTCTCAGTCGGCCAGGACCTGTGTTGCTGTGCTCTAGATACAAATCCCGCTGTGTGCAAACCTCCACCCATGGTCATAACCTGAGATAGGAATAGATACATTACTGATATTTTAGTTTTACCCTTTGCAAGGACTGAATGATTCCATTCCCCATTCTCCAGCCAAAATCTGAGACACCCTGCTTAACTATCTGAGCCCATTTGAGTTTCCCAGTGTCTCATACAGCCCCTCCGTTCAACGTCCATTGGGCCAGGATATGTATACCACTTCCACTGGGAATGTCTGAGGAGGGTGCCAGTTACTTTCCTCATTCCCGTAACATCCCCATTCCCTGTTGACTTCCCAAGCCCGGGGGTTGCCTTGTTTAGCCACCCTGTCCCCTCCTTGTTTCCCTGTTAGCACCTGTCTGTCGAACCGTGAGCCAGGACACGCCCGCCACAGGAAGCACCACAGGAAAGGACTGGTGTGTCCATTTCGGGCGTCCCATGACTGCCTGCAGATGCATCACGTGGCCACACGTGGAGGCACACCAGAAACCACGTGGGCATGATGCAAAGCATTTCGTTGTCCATCCATACTCAACAACTATAGTCACACTGTGACACATCACGTGATCCGATGCTCAGCCTCGCGCCACCCATTAGTAGCTTACACTTTGCAGTGCAGAGAGCTAGAGGTGATGGCTTATGTACATTAAAATGTATCTAAGTCTCGAAATATATACTACACAGTATTTGAATCAACTACAATAGATGGAAATAAGATTAAGTCAGATTATTCTTAGTTTATGGAGGCTTTGTCGAGCTCCTCCATGATATTAGCAGGTAAGACTCGCTGGCCATGATATTTATGATTGGCCCAAGCAGCTTGTTTGCTGGATAGACCCCTGCAATATGCATCCATGAACCTGAGGGATCAAGTTGCAAATCTAAACAGCGGCATCAGGAAGAGATTTAAGGGCTAGTGGATCGAGGAATGTGCACTTACCATTGCATTGTCTCGAGAGGGACTGAGTTCAGCACAGTGCATGTTGTACTGAAGCTGTGCCATTGTTGGTAGGAACTTCTCCTGTTGATACTTGACCACATCCGCATGCTTGTGGCCATCGGCATACTGACCTGATGGTGTTTTTGTCCAGTGGTTAGTCCATCAGATGCATCCACCATTGTGCTGTATGAAGGGTGACCATCTCCTTTAGCTTGTACTTCTCCTTGATCTCTGGTCTCTGAAGGAAATGGACGATGTTGAGAGCCCTCACATATTTTCCTTGCAGATGCAGGTGGATCTCGCATTGCAAGGTCACCGTCCACCAGAAGGGAGACATTCCATGTGCCATACAGATTCCACGGGAGATCATCGCAATCATCGATGAACAACCATGCCCATTTCTGGAGTTGTTTTGCAGCATGTGGACCCTTTTGGAATGCTTGCGCTGTGGCCAAGGAAGCTCCAATCCAAGTGAGTGGTTTCAGTGCTGGTTTTGTATGATTCCAGAGAAACACAACAGGTCATCCTCCTCAAACTTTTTATACCCTTTCCCTGACTTCCGATGTGGGTATAGGATTTCAGTGACATCCGCTAAGGCAGCCTTTGCATTCACAGGACATGGAGGAGCTTGATATCCCTCCGAGGAGTCATTCAGGTCCCTCAAGTCTGCCTCAGACTCCTCCTCCTCCAAGTTCACAGTTTCCTCTGCATTGAGGGGACATGGGTGAGGCTCCAATGTGTTGGTGCTCTCCTCCTCCAGATGCACAGGGATCTATTCCATAAGAAGAGGTGCCGGAATGGAACTGCCAGGTGTGGGAGCCGTGCTGTCACCAGCAACATCAGGAAGGCTGTCTGCATTTGGCATATTCTCAGGCACCAATGTTCCCCAGGTTGGCTGCATTATCTCTCTGAAGACTCTGGCAAGGCATTTCAGAGGGCTTTCAGGCTGCTCCGGAATGGTGACACGGTCTACTGGTGCAACCTTTTTGAAGGTCAGTGTTGATTATGTATCCGCCCTTGACTTATGCTCACGTTCTCTTTATCATTATTCCATTTTGGTTTCTTTGACCTAATCCACCCTCCAAGGTTAACTATAGCCTGACGGATTGAGCACTTGCATTTGGGCATGAGCAGCAACCTTGATGTGTCCAGGACATCACATCTGCATATGCTGATAAGCCTCAAGGATTGTCTGACTCCGGAAATCACAGTTTCAATGTCCCTACCCACCTCATCCAGAGTCCGTTCAACATTGCACCCACACACCCCTATGCTAGGACTTTTCCAAAAGATTTATCAATTTAACTCCGGTCCTTCTAGTGTCTTTGAGGCCAGCGTGAATCCCTATGATGATTTAGCTCTGAGGTCAGGCACTCCGGAGTGACTCAGGAAGCAACTTCGAGACAAATTAACTCTGGTGGCCGAGGGCACCTGTCTGGTTGTGGGTCATCCTTGCACCCAACTTCCAGTACTTACTCTCCTTGACCTCCATCAAATTACCGAGCTTGTGGATGTAAATCCATGACCATGAGGCCAGCATCAGTCAGCAAGCAGCCAGAGTTAATTTGCAGTGTGATGGGAAGGCTCAGGACAGGTACCGACACGTCAGGACAACCTCTAGGAGCTAGGACAAGCATATGGAGGGATGAGGGAGTCGTATGGTGCATGGTATAGCGGTGGACGGGTGCTGAGCAGTCGATGGAGTTGCGGCGAGTATTTGTTATTTATCTCCAGGTGGTCACAGGGTCATTGCTGTAGTATAAATGTATGATGTAAAGTAAAGTAAAAACAAGTTTGATCTTCACCATCTCAGCATATCAGAGTTACCATCTCAGCGACCCTCGAAGTTTGAAAGCATTGAACTTAGCGATTTACAACCAATCCTAGCTTTGCCAATAGGCCTGACTCATCAATTGAATTATCTCCGATGTCAAAATATTAGCTCCTGTGAGTATTACATAGCAAAATAAAATCAACCAAGTCTCTCTAGCAATTTTGATCCCGCAAGCATGATCCTACGCTAGGTGTCGGTGCTTGCGACCTTTGTTTATTTTCAATTCTTCGGAGATAAATATTCTGGAGCTTCAATTTGTGTTTGTTTCAGGCGTCAAGGCTTTGTTTTATTTTTCTAGGTCTTCCTATGGACTACCCTACGTTATCTTACTCCTCCTTTCCCCCTCACACTACTTTATACCCTTCAGTCGTCTCAGACCGCCTCCACCCATACCACTGGGTGTGTTGGGTTATTTCCCCTTGGTCTTTGGTGTCTGTTGTGTGTCAGTGCATATCAACGTGTCCCGCCGCGGTTGTGGCGGGGTATCTTATTTCGACATCTGCTAAGGCAATATTGACTAGATTGAAGTTTGGCTTCTGATAGAAGTTCCTAATTTGTATTTAGATCAATTCCTCGGAAGCAGATTTGGCAAATATGGCCTGCTTGGGGAGGAGATACACAAGTTTTGCTAGAATGTCACGCTGCTCTAATTAGTGTGACAAAAATGATCACATGATAATAGTCGAGTATGGAGTCGCCTATCTTATATGTAGATACTTTGTATGCTTGTGAGCGTTACACAGGTCACGGTCACCGCTCCTGCTCTCGACGGTGACGATGTGCTTGCTCAAGTGCGCTGTATGGGCTCTACATAGCCTGCCTTTTGTTTTTTTGGGCTCTAGTGTATGCACATTTTACTGGGATTACTGCTCACTGCATTGGGTTACCCGAATCACGTTGCTGGTGCTCCTAATCTTCGGGGGTCCGGGTACCGCTATCAGTACCGGCCTAAGCAATACAAGCAAGAGCAGAAGCAGCATCCAAGCTGGAATGAAGAAATCAATGGGCCTTCCCATATGCGATTACCTGAACCATGTCGCGGGTGCTTCTAGTCTGCGGGAGTTTTGGGTATGCCCAGTGGCGGTGATAGGCACTAACACACGACAACACCAAAGACCAAAAAGAAATAAAACCTAAAACACCCAGCGGTATGGGTGTAGGCGGTCTAAGGCGATTGAAGGGTAATATTTAAGTTCGAAGGGAGGGGGAGAAGTTAGACGCCGTAGGGTAGCCCGTAGGAAAACCTAAAACAAACAAAATCTTGAGGCCTGAAACAAACAGTATAGCGATTCTCCGGAGTATTTATCTCCGAAGTTCGCCAGTAGCCCGGGTGGGGAGTTCCACTGAACCCAAACAATAGTCTCGTGCCTACAGACGCTTGGTGAATTTTATACTTTAAATCCGGAGCTTACTTGGATCGATATGTGATGGCGGAGTTATCTAGTTTCGACGAGTCAGGCCTATTGGCAAAGCTAGGATTGATTGTAGACGCTAAGTCCGCCGCGAAGGGACTCCGAGGGTCGCTGAGACGATAATTCTGGTACGCTGAGAGGGTGAAGTACAAAACTTGCATTTTCCACTACGCTCCATACATTTTTATGCTATTGGAATGGTTTTGCGCCCGCCCGGAGTTAAATAA